TCAGGTTCTATAGCGGAGGAGAGAATCTCACAGTAAGTAACTAACGTGTTGTACAAAGCCGGAGAGACTGATGAATGATTTGATTTAAGGCGCAAATTTTAATGAACAAACAGGCGGGAGCGCGCACGCGCACACACCTAACGGAAAGTACCCCAGTAATCCCCTCATCCTCGGATACGATTTAAGGGATGTAAAAGACATTAAAGCCCTATTACATGTACTAGAGATGCGATTAAAGGTCACTCAAAGGTTACTTTTAAGTACCAAAGTCAAACAGTGTATCCCAAAATGGTGTTTTAAGGGGAGAATGGAGAGAGAAACATACAAAGAAACGGTTTTCACATGATAGACGCAACAAAGTTCCGGTCTTACCGTTTTCGGCATCTTTCCTTTCTTTAAGGCCGCTTCAGGATTTTACAGTAAAAAAAAAAAAAAAAATTAAAAAAAAGTTCTTGAATCAGAAGAGCAGCTGGTGAGAGCACAGAAAACTTTTTCCCATCAGAACAACGGCGCCGATAAAACGTGTCACCGTCTCGAGCAAACACGCGTTACCGTGAGCTCAAGTGCGAAGAAATGTTTCAGCCTTAACGCTCGAGGGAGTGTTTTTCTCTTTGTTTCACCTTTCAGTGAAATGGACCGCAGCTTGATTTCCTGCTAACGGTACCCCTTGACTGCGAGAAAAAAAAAACCACACCCAGGCCGATGACAGGACAGCAGCCAGCTAGACTGAGAGAGAGGGGTCAGAGCTGCAGACTCCGCCTGCAGCAGCCGCATCATCATGGCTGCAGTGAGCTCCCTCCCTGCTGTCTGCCAGAAAGCAAATCACTAGCACTCCACTCTCTGAAAACAAGACATTTACTATCAAAAACGACTCAAGTGTCAGCATACTTTAAACGTTTTAGACGGATGTAAAGTGAACGAGCCGACTAAAGCATCACGTTAATGTTTGCCTAATAAAACAGGCCTACAAGAGGGGCTTCACATAGCCTATTAAGCAATAAAACACTAAAGGGCCAGACTTTTTAATGATTACTGAAGTCTGCCAGCAGGAAACACAAACTACATGGCAGATAATAAAATAATAATAATAATAATAATAATATGATGATGATGATGATAATATGATAATAATACTACATTTTATTTAAGGACGCCTTTCAAAGCACTCAAGGTCACCTACCAGTTGGGATGATGTGTTAAATATTGACACCCCATTAGGCTAGGCTAGTTTGTTACCCAGACTCTTTTACTACAGAGCCATGCTGTTGTAACACATCCAGAGTGTGGCATTGTCTTGCTTAAATATGCAAGGCCTAGGCTATTTGGCAGCATATGTTGCTCCAAAACATCTGTACATGGTTTAGCATTAATGGAGCCTTCTGAAATGTGGTTAACAATGCCATGTGTACTCATACAACCCCCCCAATACCATTGTGGATGCTGGTTTTAAACTGGGAACTGATAACAAGCCGGATGGTTCCTCTCCTCTTTAGCCCAGAGATCAGGGTGTCCAGGATTTATAAACAGAGAGTCTAATTTTAACTCGTCAGAAAGAGACAGTTTTCCACTTCTCCTCAGACCATTTTAAATGAGCCCGATCTGGATCTGATTTATATATGGGTTCCTCTTTGCAGAGTAGAGTTTCAGCTAGCATTTGTAAATGCAGAGATGAGCTGTGTCCACAGACAATGGGTTTTGGATGTGTTATTGAACCCATGCAGTGATGACCACATCAGAAGTCTGTCTGTTTTTAATGCAGAGCCATCCGAGGGGCGTGGATCACAGCCACCCAGTAATGGTTTTTGCCCTTGTCCCCTGCATAAAGAGATTTCTGCAGATTAGATTAGATCAAATCAGATTACATTAGATTAGATCAGAAAACTGTATTAATCCCATTTGAGGAAACTAATTTGCCACTTAGTCAACTCGTACATAAAACAAACAAACAATACAATCACAATACACAACAAGTACAAAAATAACAAGTAGTAATCCCCATATTCTTTGCAATTGTTTTGTTTTACAGAAAATTATTCTAAAAGCGTTGCACTATTTGCCAGCACGGTCTTTCATAGAGTGGTTTACCCTTTCCGACCTTTACTTCACAAAGAGTCTGCCTCTCTGGGATAGTCTCTTAATCATGTGGCTTACCTGTTGCCAGCTGATCATATTAACTGAGATGTTCTATTGTGTTTTTTTAAGACTTTCACAACATTTTCAGTCCCAACTTTTTTTTAAATGTGTTGCTCGTATCAGATTTAAAAGCAATAATATTTCTCAATTTCATCACATGATATGTTTTGGATATGTTGGATCTTATAAGGTTACAAGAACGTTTTAAGGAGTCAAGGTCATAGTTAGGACTTTTTTTTGTTAAAGAGGCTAATAAAAGGTGACAAAAGAGGCCAAACCATGTGCAAAAAAAGGGAAATGTTATAAGAGGATGTCTACTTAAACAGAGGCAAAATGCTACAGAAGCAATTTACCAAGTTATGTCACACATTCAATTAGTATTCAGTTCCTGTAGAAACAGTTACAATACAGTATTCGCCTTTCAAATTACTTTGTTCAACTTCTGGTTTATCACATACTGTCGGCCCCATTCACAACACAAAAAAGAAAGTAACAGCATATTCTTTCTGGTTAATTACTGTGGAAACACTTACAGCTGCTTGTGCTGTAAAGGAGAGGTTCAAAGCATTCAAGCACCGCTCCAACTTCAGATGGGCTGAACGCTAGTTTGCCCCTCACAGCGGTGGACTTTGGGTTGTTCTTAAAGTTATAGTTCATGGTAATAAAACCGCACTGTGACCCCATAGATCCTACTGAGAGAGAAAAGTCCTGGAAACCAATCACAATAGCTATGTTCTCTCTTTAATGTATCTTGCTCTATCTGTTAGAGATTTAGCTCTGCTTTATTGTCCCACAAAATGGTTTCACCCTCTAAACATTTTATTCAGTTTTGAACTTTATTTGTAAGGGACCATGTGCAATTAAAACATAAATGTAACCATTACTCAAATCATCCTGGGTCTTCATTGTACCACTTAATCCAGCATAATGTGTTGCTGTGTGTTTGTGTTTAATTCATGCTTTATGCCACATTTGTCAAGGAACGCTGCAAATTCTAGCTGCTCTGGATAAAACTAACTTCCTGCTCTGCCACATCTTTAACTCATCTACGATAACACAATCACCTCTTTACCCTTACTTTATCCTTTCCTCATCCCCTGTTATGGCTTAATTAATCCTTTTTCTACTCTTGCTACATGTGTCCGAGTAAGGTCACTGGCTCTGGCCAGCATTTCACACAGTTTTCAGTGGATGTATCTGCTGTAGGTTTAGTATTTAACTCTCGAGTATTGAGTTAAACATACGTTTAGGTTAAACATTTTCCAGTCAAAATGTATTCAAAAATAAGAGAGTATGGTGTGAAATGTACACTCAAGCAGAATGACGACACAAAGAAATCCCCGGTGAACAGCTGGTGTGTTAACATTCCCAGAGAGAGCACTGCACAGAGACGTCACAATGTTGACTCATCCCCACACTCCCAGGGCAGGATGACCTCCCACACTCTACAAGCAATCCTCACTCAGTGATCGGCTCAGTGTGACAAATCAGAGGGGATATGGTGAATCCTTGGAGAAACGGTCAGTGCTGACCAAACGGTTGACTAAGAGTTAGCACTTAGTCAAAAAGAGGGCTGACCAGGACATTTCCAATCTTCTCCTAACATGATTTCACAGTGATCTGCAACAATGTCTCTGATTTGATTAATTTCACAGCATTCACTACCGTTTGTGTGGCATAAAAAATCCTTCCTGAAGACAGTATTGAGTCATTATCCAGGTTTTTTTTTTTTGAGGAGGAATACCTGTTAGCTTTGTCTTGTTCAGTAAAACTTTTAATACTGAACCTTACTTTTTTAAGCTGACGGCCCTGTGGTTAAAGAGGTCATCTGTAATTCCATGTTGTCTCATGTCACTGTTTTTGAAGATTGGTGCTTTGAACACAGATAAATCATGTTGAAATAAAGGTTTTGTCACTTTTTGAAGGTTGAAGGAGCTTCAGTGGACCTAAATGTGTTAACACTGAAGAAGATAATGAAGAAGATTGTAAAAGGACTAAATGTACAAATCAGAAACGTCTGTCTGAGTGTGGTAATGACACATGCTCTGTGCTATTGCACCGTTTAACCAGCAGATAGTGTGATTGTGCTGTGTAACCTGTTGAACAGCTGCAGTACAGTACATACAGAGAGGGGCTCTTATTTTGTCTAGGTTGTCTTAACACCGTTGTAAGGTTTTTTGGGAGATTTATTCTGGGGATTTTTGTGCCTTTAATGAAGACATAGGACAGTGGATAGAGTCGGAAATCAGGAAGAGAGAGAGAGTGGGGAATGACATGCGGGAAAGGAGCCACAGGTGGGACACAAACCCGAGCCGCCCGCCTGGAGGACCACAGCCTCATACGTGGGGCGCGCGCACAACGACTGCGCCAACCAGCGCCCCACACTTACGTAATGTTTGACATGATCATTTCAAAGATACTTTCAAAACTTTCTGCTATAATTCTAGAAAAAGGGACACAGCCAATGGGAGACAATAAGTGTCCTGTCCCCACCTGCAAACATTTGCATGTTTAAGAGCTGTCTGACTACATATTATTAATTGTATGTGTATGCTTAGTTGACTGCTGTCTTTTAATGTTACAGGGCTTTGGCTATATTGCTCAACTGCCCAAATAAACAAGTGACACAGTTATAAGTTAACATATATTCAATTCAATTTTTGTTATCGTAACCTAATAGTAACAACAAAGGCCTGAATGTTACACACTGCATGCAAGAGAAGAGACTTATACATGAGATCTATTGGGTATATCCAAATATTTGAAAAAGGCAAATATTTCCTTATCTTTCTTTCACTTAGTTCATGACAATTTAAAAAAAAAGCAATTATTTCAGGTCTCATTCCAGTCGAGAAGAAAAAACACAGTTTGAACAGAATTTTGCTTTATTTAAGGAGATAAACACGTTTTGTCATTAAGACTTACATTTTGTTTGAGCCCACAGACCCAAAAATCCTCTATTTTTGTGCATTTTGGTCTATAAAAGCAATGCTTTCCACTCAGCATGGATAACAATACCACAGATCATCACAACACACAAAAAAAACTTGCTTTATATTTCCCTTTGTACATGGACAACACATCGGTCTACTCAAACAGCAGACCGTTACTACCTCAGAAATGTGACCACTGACTTTTCCAAGAATAGAAAACAACCAAATGAGTTATCCAAACTGTTTTGTGTGATTTGACCTGAGTATTTCACTGTATGTACTATTACCTGTATGTACAGTCATGTTCAAATGTGTGGACCTGTTGTTGTGGCTTTTTTAACACCAGCAAGTCAACTTTGACAAAATCATATGCTGTTAGAAACTGCAAGACTTCCAGGGGGTTCACCATTGTTGGACACAACACTGTGTGTGTGTTTGTGTCCATGTGTGTGTGTTGGTCATAGCATGTGACGTTACATGACATGTGTACATCAAAATTCACTTTGGTGTTGCTCATAGCCATTAGAAAAGTGATTCTGAACTGAAGTTAATACTCACTGACAACATCAGCATTTACATCTTTAAAAAAACACTTCTAATCCCCACTGGCCTCATACAGCAAAATTATGACCAAACCATTTGTGAATTATAGTAGAATAGATCACAATTCATGTCTTATTTGTTAACATAGTGTTAGTCCTTGAATCCAAAACTCAAGAGAATTTTTCGTTTATTAAACCGTCCTTTACAGCAAACACAAATCTGAGTAAAGCTATCACTATGTTTATCATTCAGTGTGTTTCATATACTGCTTGTTTTCTTCTTGTAGATCTGATAGGGTATGAGTTAGAATCATCTGGCAACAAGAGATCAGCCAATAACAGAACTCTGTATCATATTTTGAACTGTTTTTAACCGTCAGGCCATAAGCAGATTTGTGTTTGGTGTTAAGTTGCTCTAAATTCACACTGTGCAAAGAAAATAATCATGTTTGACGAAGCCACCCAAGAAGAACTTTGGCATGTTTTATTAGGCAAAATAGTTTCAAAAATATTGAAATTCCCATTAAAATAGCATAAAGCAGACATGTCAAATTCAGAGTAAATAGATGCACTTAACCAAGGTGCACGGGTTACAACACAGAAATAATCTAAGTATTAGAACAACTGAAGTAACTCTCACATTTACAGAACTCTTTCTATATGTACACACACACACACGTGTGACTATTTACAGGGAGGACATGATGCTTACAGCTGTACACAGGGTATCTGTGCACTTTGAAATAGCATAAATGTCCCTGTAAGTTTACTACTGTACCCAGTAAGAATTAGTTCATACCAATGGGCTACTCCCTGTGACACACAGTGTCACAAACATTACGGCATTGATCCCCCCACCCCACCCCCTCATTATTTAAATAAACTTTTTTTCATATTATACATTTCATATTTTGTTACATTCAAGGTATAGATACAATTTGTATCAACAAGCAAAAGTCAATTCTAGACATTTGTGGCTTAGTTGTTTGCGGCACAAAGGGAGGACGGGGACTATGAAACAACCTTCTGGTCTTAAGTGTCACCTTTGAGAATAACAGCACAACACTGGATTGGTACATTTAAATGATTTTGTTGTGATAGCGAGTAATTTATTTTTGGCCCGGAAATGTCATTCACCCAGTGAACAGAGATCATTATGAAAATAGTCTTTAGAGCAAGCACAGTCTTTAGATACCTCTAATATAGAATGTAGTAAGTAAAGAAAGAATCAATTAAAGCCATAGCGACCGTCATTCTTTTTTCCTCTTCCCTTTTAGTCCGGTGTGAAAATGTCCAGATGGAACTTGTGAAAACAACACAGGCTAACCTTTAAGATAAGAGCAGCATCCCACAATCGTTTTTCAGCATTTTGGACCCACATTTAAAAGCCACTAGGCTTTCAATGAGGATTTGCTCTGATACTTGTCAGGCCCACATTGTCCATGAGTGCATTTTATCTTATTACAGACAAGTGGCTGCTAGGTGGCACTCTGCCAGAAATAGGAACACACATGCTTGAGCCATGTCAGCAGCTAAAATTAAATCATGTGTGTACGCCTTTATGAAAACAAACTAATCGAGTTTAAAGGACTCTGTTACAGGATCTAGTAAAGATTTAAAAAAATGTTTAATATAAATCTTATGGTGGTAATTATTTTTCAAACAGAACAAAGTCATTTTATTTTGAGTTCATCTGGGTGACTGACTATTCCAGTGTTATCGATCTAATTAAGACACACACCCATACAATTTAAGCTATTTTAATTCACAACACTTGTGATCCTAATTTAGCCTCTGATCAACAGATGGGTTCACATTATTACTTTTAGATTTGTGTTTTCCATCAGGGTATGTAGTACTTCATGGACCAAGATTTTTTGATGACAACTCAACCTTCCCAAGGAAGAAGGACGGCACGCAAACTTTGAGCCAAATGCCAGAAACAACCTTGACAGCAGCCTTGCAATCTGATTGTTTCACATGTAGAAACATTAGGCAGTTTGTTTCACCTTCTCATGAACAGACAGCCGGCCTTAAGTGGCCTTGTCTTTTTTCATGAAAAACAAAGTCAGCAAAACCCAAAATTCTTTTGGGCAAAACACATTCAAATGTTTTTTTTTTTTTTTCTTTAAGTCTGCTCATATTACATGGTTGTACCTAAACATTATAAAGAAATAACTTTTGATGCACCACCAATGAGACATAGTCAGAATAAACTCTGTTAAAAAGGAATACACTCAGTTAAAAAATGTGCATTACACTTTTCTTTGATAGCATAAAGAATTTCCCAAATAAAACGATTAAAAGTCCGATCTGTTTAAATGCTGCATTCACTGTCAAGGTGAGCCAAACTTTCTGTGCTTTTAATCGTATATTTTTTAAAACACTATGACTACAACTCTCTCTCCTAATCCACTTTTGTTTTACAAGGTTAGGCCTGAATATCCTGCATCCTTAAAATAAGTGGCATTTCCCTTTAAAAAAACACGAACACATGAAACTGCTATCAGGGTTGGCTTTACATGGTGCAAACAGCTTTCACTTGGCCCTGAGGGTGGGAGAAGAGAAAAGGAAATGGACTATTACCATCAAGGGTGGTCATCCTCATAGGAACATACATGTGCTCCTATCAGTTGATAAGAACTAGTTTTGACCTTACGACCTTGGCAACTTACTATAGGTCATAAGTATATCAAGGCAACCATCCACCCATCCATAAGTACAATTTACAAGATCTAATCATTGGCTCAATAACGGCCAGAAAATTCACCTATTGTGAAAATGTTAAGCCTTTTAGTCTTTAAGGATTTTAACGGCCTTCATGAAGTCCAATTCACTGATAACTTTCTTTGACTAAAGCTGCATCACGTAAAGCCACTCTATGAGCTCAGTTTTAGAGAACTCAAGGTGAATAACAAGCATTTACACAAAAAGTACAGTTTTGCAATGCCATCGTAGCGTTTCAGATGTACATAGCTTACTTTAAGATACTACATGTTACATGTAGAGTTTTCACAAAATATATCATTAATGAATCAAAGTACTCTTGCCAATAACTACTGGGTTTTTGGCAGGACAAGACTGAAAATTAGAAAGTTGAAAGCATCCTGAGAGCAATGTGCTGCAAGGCACAGCCAAACCCTTTTCATGATCCTTGGAGGCTGGCTGCATGCATACATACGAACAGTACATCTGTATGTGAGCAATACAGCCTCCCATAAAACGCCATTCAGAATATAATGCCTCCAGTATGCCAACTAGCGTTCACGTCATTTTGGAAATCTATTAATCAAATTAAGGAAATACCCCAAAATGCGTCGTGTGTTTAACTCACTCAGAGGTCTAACTGTTACAGCCAGAATCCTTTGACTTAATCTGACAAATGTCTCATCAGGTACATATTAAGCCTGTTGCAGAATTCTTTGTGCAAACATTTAAACAGTGTTGGTTAGCACTGTTTCCACCTCTAATAGTACATTTCCACAATGTGTCTTGACTCAACCACACTACAGCTCGCTGAGGTCAATTCTTAAAGTTTCACTACATTTATATGCACCAAAGAAACTGTGTGAAATCAGTTGAAGACACTGAATTGTCTCACTAGTTTAGATCAATGCCTGAATTCTTCAAATCAATACAGTTGACACAATTTAAATGGTCAAATTCCTCCGAGTTGACAAAGTGTCTCTTAAAATCTGAAACTGATCAGGGAACGTAGTTCTCACAGCGACAAAAGATGGAAATCATCAAAGGACTTGGGTGCATATAAAAGTAGGCTCTGAAAGAAACTTGACCTGCTCCTTCAAATAAACTGCTCCACTGACAACATGAGGGAGTCCATTAGAGAGCCTGTTTCAAACAAAGATGCTTTGAATACTTTTACAAACAAAGACGTATACTGATAGGGAAACCCTGGATGTAGCATCCAATCAAATCAGATAGGTAACTGTATAGTGTAAAATAGGAAATAATCCAAACACATGTTCATTTGTAATATAATCCCATCACTTCGGCAAACCGTTAACGTAAATTAATGTAGAATACTGACACTATATAAATTCTTTTTTTGGCATTATTTAGCAGCTTATAAATGACTCTGAAATAATGGCTTTTGTGTGATTATATGTACATAGAAATGTGCACGTTTACAAGTCAAATCTCTTGTTTGGCTTGCTTTGTGCACTGTCAAATTCTACCAAAATAGTAGCTTTGTTAAGTGAGGCTGAGAAAATATATCTCTTTAGATACTGAGATAGTGCTTTACATTTGAAAAAACGTGGCTTCAATGACGAAGACTTTCATTGAAACCCATCAGACAACGACTAAAGCGTGAGGTCATTCAGATATAAGGCCATTAAATGTCATTGATCATGCTGTGAGGTATGTGGCTACCTCCCTTTTTACTTATCTTTAAAATTAATGCACAAAAAGTCACAAGAATTATATACAGCAGAGGCAGATCTAAGCATGGTTATCTATAGTTCCCCTGAACCCGAAACACTATAGATGCATTTTATAACACGTTCACAGGACCTGAACAAGATGTACACAATGAACTAATCTTAATCTACATCAGGCAAGTGTGAGAGAATTTGTCAAGATCACTTCCAATCTGCACTGTGTTGCCATGTAATCTAAACCATTATCTTTGAACCACACCCCGGTATGCCGTATATTTCATATCAAGTTTTATCCAATAATGACACTTTTTATTTGTAAAATTCCCTTAACTATAGCAGTGGTGTTATTACTGCTCGCCCTGTGTCAGACATAAAGCTTAACTACTGCTTCCGATTAGCAAGCTGGCATCACTTGCCTGCAGCAGCAACTATTCCACATTATCAAATTTGAGATTGCCGTTAAGTAAAGAAACACTACACACAAAAGCTTAAAATGCTTATTAAAGACGCTTAATAACTCACTAGCCAGGCCAGCAAAATTACAAAGTGACACTTTATAAGTCATTGTCTTTCTCTGAGAAACACTTTTAGATCACACATGCTGACAAGGTTACACTCTCTCGTCCCACTGATGCAAATATTAAAATGACTAAAAGGCAAGTAGCACATTCCTTGTTAAGCTATACCAGTCTATTTTGGGCAACACTGGTAATGACTTTGGCAGGGTTGTTGCTAAAGTTAACAGATAGTCACCAGCTGATTTTACTTTGGGGCTCCATAAAGATTGTTCATCAATCAAATATAAACAATGACTCACCTATATTTGATCTGATATTCAACAGTCATGCTAAATGTTTGCAGACTTCTATAAATATTTTAAATAAGGTTTCACAAAAGTTCTGTTGGTCATAAATTTGGTACCATGCAGCTCCTGCTCAGGTTGTATGAATGTGTTATGAAATTGTTTTCTTTTAAGGTTGTACCTCACTTTAACTGCACAAAACTTCATATAAAACTGCAGCTTTCTTTTGTGAAACATCTTACAATTAAAGATAAACTTTCTCCATACTGATTACTTCTATCTCAACTTAATGATACAAAATGTTCCACCCGACACATTTAAAATAAACTCCTGAGGGCAGATGTTGCACATGCAGCAACATTACACAAGTGCCTGTCTTTGCATCAAAAAACATCTGTATTTCCTTTGTCATATCCCATCTATGTAAATAAGATTAAAAGCTCAATGGCATGACCTCAGTTTTGTAACAATGACAGCAGCAAGTTGTTGTGGATCTGTCAAATGAGGGTTCTTCTCCATTACTGAATGGACTACGTAAGCAGGAAAGATGTTACAAAGGTTCCGATATGTTTGGTACTGGTGGTCTGGGATGACGTACCGCTCCTGGTGTTCAGCTGCAGATGGCATCTCCCATGGTGAGTTCCAGATTTGTTCCATTTTTTCTGGCATGCTCCGGACCATCACCCGCTCACAACATGGCATCAGGCTGTTACTCAATGGATATGAATGATATCCATAGGACTCATTACCACATGGCAGAGGGTCCCAGCTGGCGTGCTGCTCACGGCACAGTGGTGGTCTCCTCTGTCTCATTGGGTTGCTATCATATAGCCTTGAGTCTGATATGCTGTCCATACGAGTCATGCCAAGAGACCGTGTGGGCTGTGAGGACAGAGGTGGGAGGACATTCTGAGCGAGGGGATAGTCTCCAGGACAGCTGGACCTGGCTCCCACTGCAACATGCTGGATATGGGGTGCCAGATGAGATCCAGACTGCTGCTTACGGGGGCCCTGTTTGGGTTCCTCTTGTCCGTAACTTTGAACTCTAGTCAGCGCTTCATGACGAAAGCCATGGGAGAATGCTTGCATCCTAGCTTGTGCGTTAGACTGCTGCTGCCCCTTCATGCTCTCCTCCAAGCTACTGTCCACCGAACTTGGGTAAAGGTCAGCGTAAGAGGAAAACGAGTCGCTGTTCGAATGGCTGAGACAGGATTCAGGGCAGTGGCTGGGATTTCTCTGATACACACCATGCTCGTGCTCCATGCTACAGAAACTGTCAACATTGTGCATGCTGCTCATGCTCATGTTTGAAAAATCACTGTGTAGCGAATAATAGCCATGGTCGCTAACTGAGTCATACTTTGGAAACTGTTCACCGTATGTAACAGAGGCGCCATGACTGTTTGTAACTAAAATAGGAGGGTACTGTACACTAGACATGTGCTCCAGAGAACTGTGGGAGAACTGCAGAGAACCTGGCACCGGGCTGCTGGCTGATCTTGTGTTCAAGGCACCAGCTGCATGGCTCTTGACAGGCTGCATGGTGGGCACACTGAGAGCGGACACAAGGGAAGGCACTGAATTTGTCTCAGACTTCCGAGCAGCGGACAGTGCCTCAGGAGGTTCACAGGCCACTGAGCGAATACTTGGGTCAGATTGGCGTTTGGGTGCCACACGCTTGGCCTCAGAGTTCATGTCCCCCTTAACAGTTGCTGGACCAGTACCGCACTTAGCTAAAGCCCCCTCACTCATTGTCTTCACCGCAGACAATTTGGCAAAGGCCCGTAGTTCATCGGCCACCGACCTCTGTGGCTGGTTGACACGCTCAGGATGATAGTACTTGCACTTGTGTCCATATGTGCACTTTTTCCCTTGTTTAAAGAACGAGTAGATCAAGTCAATTAAATGATACAATTACAGTAAAGTCTGATGCAAAAATACAACATTCTTCCAATACTTTGAAATTGACATTTAGAGAACTTACCATAGGGGCAAGGTTGTTTTTTGTGCTCTGGAACGACAGGGCGCTTGCGGAGGAAATTTTCTAAGCTTGGACCATGTCTTCCCAAAGGATCATCAGGGGGCATAAACCTATTGAAAACAAAGATTCAACATTTTAATTTTCTAGTGTTAGAGTATTTATTTTCAGCACATAAAGTACCTGACATAAACAGAAATACTAACCTGTTTTCCCAATAATGACTTAATATGACAATATTTAGAATTTTAACACTAAAATATCTTTATCAATAAAAAATTGACTAAACCTATGTTATATGTTTTTTGTTGTTGAGGACTTACATTACCGCAATATTTCCAACAGTTATGTAAGCCATAGAAATCTGTAATTTTATAGTTGTAACTGGACGTGTTTATAGTTGCCGTGGAAACACGGGATATTACGTCAAAGACCGCCGCAGGAAGCGGGAATTGCTATTGAAAGCTGCCATATTGTTTCTGTGTGTGCTGCTGTGATAAAAACGTCATGTTAATTACACTTGATACATCGTCTGTAAACACAGTCTCTTCCTCTAAAAAATGTTTCGCATCAAACACCATTTATAATAGTAGCCTTGATTTAAAAAACATTTTCATGTCGTGGAGGAGGTTTGGTATTTTTCAACCAAATCAACATGGCTCCATGCATCGAGTAAAGATCCCTAGATTTTTACATTATTCATCAGCCAAAAGAACGCATTATGGTTTCTTACTTGTCATTGACAAAAGAGTACATGAGGAGACGCTCTTCTATGAACTTCTTCCACTCTGGCTTCTCATTTTGCAAGTCTCTGTAGTTGTCATTTGACACAATAATTCCATCAGAATCATAAGCCAGCTTCACTATGAAGCGATCATCATAGCACACCACTCTCCTGCCTTGAACCCTCCGAGATGGGGTGAAAACCAGGATCTTTTCTTTTTCCAGTTTGCGTAGTATTTCCTGATCTGAAAGAGAAGTTTTGAGTAAGTATTAAACTATATCACCACTACCAAACCCATATCATAACAAATCTTTAAGAATAACAGTGGACACTGATGAACATTAAGTTGCAACTCTAAGTCCTTAAAGGGATACTTCACCCATTTGCATTAAGCTTTGTATCATTAGAAACCTGCTAGTATTTTTGAATGGTCGTGCATCCCTCCCTCATTTTCCCCTGAGATGGGAAATCTTTGTATTTTTAAGTCTGAAAAGGAGCTTCCAGTGACGCAAAATGACGATGCATCACTGGAAGCTGTTGCGGTTAGCGGGGTGAAACTACAACGCTAATTCCTCATATTTTCGACCACTGAAGCTACAGACAAATCACAGATCAGTGGGTGGGAACTCACTCCCAGAATCAAAACTTCACATCCGCCATATTGATTGGAAGCTATGCTAACAGGCTCTATGGAGAAAGCTGATAATGGCGAAAAAATATAAATATAGCGGCGAGATGGCTGCTGCCGGCAGGCCGGTCTTGTGTTTTGGCCGCTGGCCGCCGTGACACAAGACCGGCCTGTCGGCAGCAACCGTCTCGCAGCTATATTGCTATATTGCTATATTGCTATATTGCTGGCCGCTGCCAGCTCAGCAGTCGAGACATAAGGCCTGCCTCTCGGCGGCGGTGAGGAGTGAGGTGTTTTTATTATTATACTTCTACTGCTATACTGTATATTTTGGAGAAACTGTAACGATCAAATTTCCCTCTGGGATTAATAAAGTATTTCTGATTCTGAAATAGAGGACCTTAGTGGGAGTGGCCTGCGGTGCTGTGCATTCTGGGATTTGGTGTCTTTCATCCACATGAGCCAAAAAGACACTTTCTGCCTTTTCACAGCCAAGAAGGCACCAACTTCATTTCTTTCACATTTCTACTACATATATGATACAATGTCAATACAGATTCATGTTTCAATGGGTGAAGTAGCCCTTTAAAAGTTTGAATGTTGTGTAAAATGTTAATGAAAAAACAGAGCATGATGGTATATGACAAACATTGAAGTTCCATACATGATAGAAAATAGAAGAGTGAAAACACCTCAAATGTTGAAAATGACTTTTTCATTATTTTGGGGGGAATTAAATACCCGTTTTGAATTTGGTGCCAGAAATACATTTCAGAAAGTTGGGACAGAGTCGTGTAAGCCTCTCTGTTGCATCACTTTTTTCCTTTAACAACACTTTGTAATGAAGATAACTTCATGTGCTGCACAAAAATACACCAGAATTTAAGAAATTGTCCCTCAAACTGTACTGTGGGAGGACCCCCAGGTTCCAACAAACATCATTTAATTTGATACAACTTTGCTGTAACCCTGTAATCCAACCCATTAGCTTCCATGCTGTATTGAATTTAATTTTGATATCCTTTCCTCAATGTTACAATTAAAGGAATTCCTGAAATACATTGCTTGTGAACAAGTGTTTGGTTAAACCAGTGTGCACAGGAGACATGCACGTGTGTGTGCACATGGTAAGAAAGGTACCACCTTCAGCCTAATTTTCAGCCAGGAAAAAAACCTTTCAGTCCTCTTAACATGTTAATTAATTTCTGACAATGTCCTATACTAATAAAATATCAGTTTTGTAAAAATTGCTTTTCTACCCGTGATGAGGGCATCAGGCCTTGACTGCTCCTTTCTCCATGCGGGAACAAATACGGTGATGTCTTTGTGTCCTTTTTCCAAGAACCATTCAACAGCAAGTTGGATACCACGGCAAGAGAAAACCTCTTTGTTTCCATGACTAGAAAATGAAACATCGTATTATAAGATGAAGTTAAAAAGAAATAAACGTTTTCACAACTTTCTTTATAAAAACACGGGGAAATTAAATATGGATGCATGTTTGTTTGTGTTTTACCTCATGGCCACATTTGAACCATCGATGACGATAGGCCTGAGGTTATCATACGTATCCACAGAGTCATCTTCCACTGAGACCTCTGGACTAACAGTCTCTTTAACACAGGGGGGACGGGATGTTGATGTTGCTGTACTGCTGCAAGGTTGACTTTCAGGCTCCACTTTGTTTCCAAGTCTCACTAACTCAGCAAGAACGTCGTTAATAAGTGCAGCAGCCCCCAACTTGTTGAGCACCGTCTCCACCTGCTCTCCAGAATAGCCCAACTTCAAAGCAAAGTCCATCTTGGTCTGGTACTCTTTATCGCTGGCAGGTTTGACCCCTGGTCCTGTGCTGCTCTCATCCTCACGGAAATCCTGCAAAGTGCTACTCTGGGAAAAACTGGGCCGGTCGAGGCATGGAGAGCGACAGAGCTGTCGGTGGGGCTTCGTGACAGCCAAAGGCTCCCTCTTCTTACATCTGATGCTGCTGCTCACCTGAGTCCTCTGCTGTTGCTGATCTTCTGATTCGCTGTCTGAGCTGCTTCCATCCTCAGAATCGTCAGTGCCATGCTGTGCCTCACTTGAGTCAATGTTCTCCTCCCTCCATGGGTGTTTTTCCATTTTGAGCTTCTCCACCGTTGACCATACTGTCATCAGGTTTGTCTGGACATCTCAGATTTCCACTCCATGCTTCCTCACCTCCACCTCAACCAAGGAATCATACTCAATGCTGGCCTTGAGCACTACAGGCTCTGAGTGTGGAGCTTAAGTAACCACGTCTCCCTTATATGAGCAGGAAATGATCAAACAATTAAGTCCTGAAAAAAAGCCAAAACACAAGGGGAAGTTTCTTTTAGATTTAGATTAGAGGCATGTACATAAGAAGCATGAAGTTGTTAAACTGTACTTGGGATAGAAAGAAAATAGAAGAGTCTTAGAGAATAAAACATTTCAGTGCAGCAGTTTCTTAGCATGCAAAATCAGTCATCATTAAAACTACACATTTAACCTTTAGTATTTGTGAAAGCATATTTTTCCTCTTATTTCAGCACTCCTGCCTAGTTAATATTGACTTGTTATCCCTCTTGGAGCTTAAGAAAAGACTTGGTGTTCAGTGAGTTTGCTGTAAAAATACTTTTTTGGCAGAACAAAAATCAGTGCAAGCCCACTTAAGAGTTTAGAGTTCGGGGCCTTGCCACACCTTTGGTCCCCCCAACTTTCTCTATAGTTGTTTATTCAAATACAAATCTAAGGGTTACACAGCAGAGTCTTGTCATGAACCTAAATTTGCATTGTTTCTGTCAAATGGCGCAACAATTTTGTGGATGAGCCAAAATAAAAATGTCTTACAAACACAACCAAAAGAAAAGTGATTAAAAATATAATTTATTCTGCTAGACCATTAAATTCTCCACCTGTAAGAAACACTACCTGGGTGAAGTGACAAGATTAGTCAGATGAATGGAACAGGTTAGTCACCTACACAAATTAACAAATGACCAACCCAGCAGTGCAGGCAAAGGACTCAGAGGATGGGAATAGGTATGATCTCTCGGAGTTTTGGTGTTAGTGGTTTGCAAACCAATCAAGCCTAGTTGTTTGTTTGATTGGCATGTGTGCAGACTATAATTTTTTATCTGATTGTCACTCCTGTTGTAAAATGTCAGACCCTCATCATTGCAAACCAACGATTCTTTAAAAGTCACAACTAAGGATTTGCTCAAAGCTGTAAACTACAATACACTGCACATTCAAACTTTAAACAGCATCTACTGCAGACACAATATTAGAGTTGTTTGTCCTAGGTGTTGTTGGTATGCAGCAAGAGATTAACCTAAAACCCTGGAAAAAAAAAAAGTTTAATATTCACTAATGCTAAGTGGAAATAGCATCAGCTTGTGAATATTACATAATTTATCCTGGTACTTTCTCACAAAAAGACAGGGGTTTCAATTTGAAAATTTGATGACGATGATCCTTCATTTTAAATTATCATAGTCAAAAGCAGAAATTGACAATTCTCTGTCTTTTATTCTGTCCCTTTCCACCTATTAGTGCATGTGTAAAAGAAAAAAACGCTTCAGAGATTCGAAGAGTAACACAATGGTGACCTGCAGTTACCCTTTATAAAAACACTGTGGTCATGTTTTATGCCCATGATTGTGTGCTGCTTCATGTAATAACATATTTATATCATGGTTATTGTTTTAGGGCTTTTTTACTTTACATCAGCAATATTCTGTACAATAGCCTTCTGCTCATATTTTAAGTCGTATTTCTAATATGTATCCTAATAGTGGTAAATTAGTATTTACGAAAATGAATATATTTATTTAACCATCAGTGCTTCAAAACATATATTCAAAAATAACTCAAATGGCAACATGAACTTACAGTTGAAGTCACATTGTTTGCTGATTTGTTGAATTACACCTCTACAACGAAGAAATCCACACAATCAAAATAGAACCTTGCCACAGATATTTATGTGCTTGTTGATTAAATATAAAAAATACAGACAAAGTCTTCCCCCAGCGTCCCTTTCTCTCAGGCTTACAAGTTTAAATTGAATCTCCTGTCACCCTGCACAAATGGTGTTAATGTACTGCAGAACAATGCTTGCTCCTATGAGCACAAACGCTCTTGTGGCGTTGTAAGCAGCATCCAATGCAGACACATACAAGGTAAGAACGAGAGTTAAACCTGAGACAAAGTGTGGGCTGAACAGAGTATCCCTGTGCCTCTAGCCTTCTGACAGACAATCTAAATTGAACAGTATTCCTTAGGGAACAAATCTGTTTTATGGTAAAGAAGAGGAGGGTTTAGGGGAGTCTGCAGTCCGAACTCTAAGTGTACATATGTACGCATGGTTATTAGTAATCATACAATCTGAATAACCAGTACATTAATGAAGAGACACACTAGACTGCACTGCACTTTCCCTCAGTCTTGCAGTGCAGAATACAGCAGGCTGCGAGCTTCAAGAGGCGCAGCCCATGATGTGAGTTGCTTAGCAACACAGCCTTGTCATCAGCTAACTCCTTTTTACCAGTCACGACTAACCCAAACACAGCTCATCATCTCTCTTCAGGCAGTCAGTAAATGCAGAACACTTACAGCTATACTACAACTCTACACTAAAACTCTTGAGGCAGCATATTAGTAATAACAAGATTACATTACTTGAGCCTATATCAATTCTGAGCAATGAGAATTACAAAAAAAATAAAAAATGTTAATCTGGATTGTTATATGTTTGTAGAAAACAAATGATGGCCAATATATTGGGTGGGATTTCTCATTCAAATGGTTGGTTAATGTTCTGAAACTGCTAATATTTCACAAACAACTCATTCTTATGGTAATAAACAAGACTGATCTTCATGGAAGACCTTGAAGGTTAATAGACATTTTGAGGGTGATGGCTTACAGAATCAGTGTGCACAATGTATCATTGCTGATCACAACTTGCATGACCACATCAATACATGTTTAAGAGAGTCGAACAGATCCTCTCCCTCCCACCTCCAGAGTCGCAGGCTTGGACTCAGCAAGGCCTCTAGACTATCTTTGCACATGCACAGGCTCATGTAGTTCTGTTTCATAGCAACAAGTGAAGCAGGGCCCTGAAGCCATCTTTTACATTGCTGACCATACAAAATGCCCATCAGGATAAATACAGGGATAAACTGCACTATGGCCAGTGTAGGTTGAATGTTTGAATGTACCACTTAGCTAGTCAAACATTTTGAAGTTAAAAAGACTGAAAAAAATGTACGATGAAATGCAGCATCCACTGTACAGCGATGACAGAATGGAAAACAGAAAAACAGAAGAAGAAAGGGATCAGCAACATATGTTGCAATGACACACTGGTTATTTTACACATTTCAAATCTCATCAGCCTGCTCAAGCTGGTCAACACAAAACTCTTAAGACTACATTTAGGTTTTGCTTGGTTGATTGTGTGCCAAGTGACATTTAGCTGTTACTTACGGGACAAACAAAAAAAACTACAGCAGAACATCACTTCCATCTGTTTTCATCATTTTAAAATCCTTTATCTGTTATTTTTGTGGGTACATGGGTGATTACTTATCTCATTATCTATTGTATAGATTAACAAACAGTACAATAACCCCAACTCAAAAAAAGCAATGCTCCACACCACAAATACAGACAATAAAGGTGATTTCTTTAAAAACATCTGTATGAATAAACACATAGAGGTACCTATAGGGGGTATGCCTATAATTTGACTAATTATTTCCAAGTCTTTAAAATATATTTTGTCTGCTTCTACTTCAATAGTTTAAAAAGTGTGTCTCATTAATTTGTTGGGTGATTTTAAAGTTGTACTTTACCCTTATAGAAGGATCTACATTGTGTGCCAACAACTTAAAATTATTCAAAGACAGTTTGGGAAAATGAAAACCAATCAGCTTTAAGATATTTAGTTTGTAAAAGGTGAAGTGGGCAATGAAACTGTTATTTACTAGTCACAGTTTAGTCTTGACTATACAGCAAACCAAATGAATGTGCACACCAAAATTGAAACACAAAGTTGGTCCCGGTGTCAGTGAAAATACAGGAAAGCTTCTCAAGTGTTGAAATAAGTTAGTGTGGTCGTAAACTAACTAAACTAACTAGTTGACACGTCTCTCTAAGAGGTTAACATCAATAGGCAGCATCATGCTGAGAGAGACGAAATGGTGGAAGGTTAAACAATATGACAAACAACAACAAAAAAAACTGTCCTACTTACATTACACTTCTTCGAATACTGTATTAACACTACGACTGCACAAGGCGTCACCTTTGAGGTCAGGTGTATATAAGAGATACCTGCTTTGACATCGTCTCGACACAGTTAGCACACGAGCTAACGTTTACCGTTACTTAGAGTCAACATTTAGCTACACAAACTCACCGGCCTACTTCGGTTTATCTTGTTTGTCCACGGTTTGGAAAGATGTTACTGCATGCAAAACGCTGACTGCCCAGTTGTCAGGCAACTTAGTTATCTTTTACTGGTATTAATTGTATCAGGGCTAGTGATTACAGCCAACTCAAGAGGCTCTACAGGCTAACTTAAGCGTCAGCTAATATAGTTAGCTTTAGCTGCTGACAGTGTGCTAACGTTTTGCCGGAATACTACAGTAACTTGACATAAAAGTTGACGTTTATTTAAAAATATAGACAGATGTTAAATCGACGCAACACGACATGGATCGCAACATAATCTGCACGTATAACATTGCCATCGTTGACTTCAAACGTTGCCCATCTCACCTTATTGCTGTCATCCTCCTCGCCACTAACAGTTATGTTTTGCTGCCATTGGCGCTGTCGCAGTTTGGTCCGGGTTGCCAGATAACGTGAAGGAAACAAGTAATGTTAGCTCCGAAAACACGGCGGGGTCATTAGGAGCGTTTATCTTTTACTTGTTTCTGCCAGGCCGGCGTCTACTTCATAATGCTCTCTTCGTGACTTGTCACGATAGTTTGATGACCTGCGTGAATAATGGCTTCTGAAAATAAGAGACATGACTCAGGAACAATAAGCTTTGCCAAAAAAAAAAAAAAAAAAGTGAAAAAATAATTCAAGAAAATAATTAAAGTAAATCATTCAAATGGGACTGACTCATTGTGTACTTTTGTTTCAGACCAAAAAAAGTAAAACTCCCTGTTTTAGGGGCATTGAGGGTCAATTTAGTGTTGTTTGATTCAGTTTTGGACATGTTAACAAAGGCAGGTGAATACTTGGCTAAGTAATACACAACGTGGAAAGTGCAATACGAGGCAATCAGCAAAACAGTCCTGGATCTGAACTAGATTACGACTTGATATTTTTATCTTGGCTGCTGTGAACCTGAAACTGTCCGTGAAAAAAAGTATAGCCTATGTCACAATATACACACTAAACAGACTATGATCAGCCTATAGGTTTGTCTGCTTTTGTCCCTATTATCAGGAGTAAGAACAACCAAGAAAAAAAATAACAAATGAAATTGGTAATAGTTCGTTTTGTCAAGTTTATTTTAGTGTAAGGCAGCAATCTATTTTGACAAAACAGAAACATTTCAATCGGAATACCCAAATGTAACATTGATGTAACTTTAGACTGTAAAAAAAAAAGAAAACTCCATTAGTAATTGCCAAATTTAAACGTTGAAGTGTACAAACAGTGAAGAATATAAATACAAAGTCCTTGACATTTTTTTCAGTATTACACAATAAAAAACGACATCATATGACAGTTGACCCTCAGATTGATCAGTACAAGAAAATGATACAGGTTGATAATTCTAGTTCATCTTTTGAGACTATTTCAATTACAAACTAAATCAAACTAACTTTTCCTTCCTTATAGCGTACAGAAATGCAATACTGGAGTGCATCACTTCAGAAGAAACATTTTGCACTTTACAGGTGGTCAAGCGGTTTCAAATGGGACTAGAAAAAGAGACACAAGAGTAAGGCCAAATTTGCTAATCAGGCCAAAAGTAAACCATACGATCCAGATACTATTAGGTCTTACTAGCTTATTCTTTTATTTGTTTCCTCTACCATTTCATAGACATTTGAATCAGATCGTTTCTTTTTTTTTTTTATGTAGAGCACTTAAATACACAGGGAATCTGTGTGTAAAACATAATGACAAACAATGTCTTCAGTGAGTATAGGAAATGGCAGCTGAACTTAAACCGAGAGCTAACATTCCCATCTTTGTTTAGTTTAAGGGTAACTATAAGCTGTTCAATGTTGCAAGATTGAGTTAAATGTAACAGCTTAATGCATTTTAAATATACCCCATTTGGGACTTCCTCCATGGGATACTTTCTTGTTGTGATTGAACCCAATCTAGCCTAAATGAAGTAAACCAAAGAAACAGCAAATCTGAGCATCATGACAGGCAAACGTAAACATTACTGGAGCAAAGAGAGGCTATAAACAAGCAGTGTAAACTCAAACATAAGCCAGCACTTAAAAGCATGAGCCTAATGTACATGTGTTCAGGGTGTAGAGGAAAAAGGCTGGGCAAGTTCTGCTCAACTGCACTTTGGAAACAACAACAAGCTTCATGAATATGCATTAAACAAAGGTTGAGACCTTGATTCTGAGGCTACATACGCCTATAACTCAATAGCTTAATAAGAGGAATCTTGCAGTGTTTCAAATGCAAATAAAACTATGTTCTTGCTTTAATGCTTTAATGGACGAACATGTTTGTATGTGAAGCAGGTTATTTATTTCTTAGCTAATAAGGAAATCCCTTTCATCTTAACAATAGGATCAAATAAACGTTGTTCTGAAGGCAGCTTGATGGCAGAGACCCTACATATTAGAATATTTTGAAATTCCAGTCTTGTCCATCACAGACTTTTTTTTTTTCCAAACTAGATCAGTGCTGCCAGTAAAAATGAAGCAACAACTCTTTTGGATGAAAAATAAAAGCACTGATTGGCACATACACATGTAATCTTGATGCCATCTGTATGACTGGGAGCCTTTTCAATTGAAGCTAGCCTCTGGAAGTGTGTTGCACATTACTTCGCTGTTCTCGTTTCACTGAGGATGGCCATTTCGTCTTTAAACACGCCCTTGCTCAGAGGACTCCCGGCATGAGATGTTCCATCCCGGCTACTCACTGGCCTGCTCTTACCACACTGATTATAAGATTGCAAACTATTGGCAGATCTACAAAAGAAATCCTCATCAACACCATCTGATACCTCCTCCATCATTCCAGGGTAAACAAAGGTGCTATGAGGTAAACACGAATCTGATTGCAAAGGATGGTGACACTGCCTGTTGTAGAGATCTGCGATCTGTGAGGTTGCATCACGGGACACATCAGAGCACAGGCGTTGTGATTTACTGCTGGATGAACTAGAAGGTATTTTGTGTTTCACTTGGGTTTGATTGAGACTCTGTACTTTTTCAGTGGCTTCCCCATCAGCCAGAGGCAGGCTTAAAGCCATCTCTGACCTTATTTGCCATGATAAGGCCATAATGCTGCTACTGTCTCTAGATTCTGATGCAGACACAAGTACATTCTTTTTGTGATGTGGTGAGGAATCTCTTTCAGCGTCTTTTTCAGTTTGAGAACAAGAAACGATAGCAGCTCTGTTCTGTCTGTATGTGTCAGGCATATTCAACTCAAGGCTTTCTGTGTCCAGAGACCGACTTCTCCTGTCTAAAGACAACGGATTAGGCATGGACTGGCTGACTCTTGTAATGCCAATGTGCCGGGGGAGACTAGCGATCGCCCATGTGTTACTGATAAGGTTCTGCTCATAGAGATCCAACATCTGATAGTCACATTCAGCAAACGCGTCTTTTTGTAAGTAGCTTTCTTCAAACTCTTGATAGGGTGATGATATGTCCTCCTCCATTTCCATTTGCATCTGCTCGTCATATTCCCCCTCATTATGCATGTCCACTACATCAAATGTGACAATGGTAGGTAAGGCCTCCATGTTTGGAGTGAAGGCAGAGTTTGCCTCCAAATCATCCACACTGTTCTGCAAGTTACTCAGCATCTCAGAGTTTTTTGTGTAGTCCACAAGTGCTTGAGAGAAACTCACTGTTTGCTCATCGTCCAAATCTTTGTTGCAGTATGGAGACTGAGAAATTTTATTTTTGTACGGCAGAGCTACAGGCTTGTTCTCCTCAAGATGCTGCTCTTTGGGTTCACAAAACGTTTCAAAATCTAGGTCGGACGTGCTTCCAAATGATGTGCTGCTGTGCCTTTTTTCACAATTTGCATTTATGGATTTTGTTGTTTTCTCAGGTGAAGCAGACATGTTTTCGTTTTCATTAAATGTATCCGGTTCTATATTAGTCTTGTCGACTGATGCTTGAGGGTTTGAATTCATATTACAGTTCTTATTTGTGCCAATTTCCTGCCGACAAACTACATTCTGTGCCAACTCGGGGGATTTACTGCATATGCTGGGCACATCTAGAAATTTGTGAACTTTATACAGGTCAGCATCTATTTGTAGTCGCTTCATTTCTGGATCAAAGGCAGAATTATTCACACCAACTGGTTCACTTGAATACTCACACTGTTGTGAACTGGACATATTTGATTTGCTCTCATATTGTGGACTGATGAGACTCTCATCAGGCGCAAAAAGCTCATAGAGGGCGTCACCACTGTAACTGTCTCTGGGTAATCTGTCTGTCCTCAGTCTGTCTGGCTTCTCTTGTCCTTCATCATGCCCCGGGGTGGTTGAATCATAGTAGCCCTCGTCGCTGTTTGGAACTGATTCTTGATGCTCATCTTGAGGAGTAACCACATCAGCCATTGAAGATGTGTCAATCCCACTGGCTTGCTGTGCGCTGCTACTGTTCAGTAACTCCATATTGTGAGAACTCGTCAGGTCAGAGGTCAGATCTGCGTGGTCTTGGTTGTAGGTATAGCAAATTTCCTCCGACTGATCATTCCCCCAGAATTCATGAAGACACTCCTCACCCACATCTTCTGGGGATGCCATTTCTTCACCGCCACCCTGGTAGGTGAGATAACAAGAGGCCCTCTTGCCCCCATTTCTGCTCCTCTCCCCCGACACAGTGCTCTCTGTGATGCTGTCGTCTTCTTGATCGGCAATAATGTCCCCACAGCCGGTGAGGGAATCAAAGCTCTTCAACGATGCAACGTCTCCAAACATCAGGTTCAGCTGATCTGATGAGCCAGTAGGTGTTTCAGACTTTAGTGTTGGCTCAGACATCATCTTAACTTTCAAACAAGGCTCACTGTTTACTCTTAAACTCTCTTCAAGTTCACTGGAAACTGCAGCCACTAAATTCATTTCCGCAATTTGATCATCACAGATCTGAGCATCCGGTTCATACTTTGGACTTTCTTGTACCACACACTTCTCTGATACCATCGCAGCAGCAGCAGCAGCAGGATCAATAGAAACATCACATATAACATCTGCTAAATCAGGCACACCAGGTTCAGATCCAAGGCACTCTGTGACATACTTGTTGACGTTGTCCAGGACAACAGGCACCTCTTTCTTGCACCGAGGAGAGGTCATTGCAATCATTTCAGTTTTATCCGATCCAGCATTTCTATTGTTTCTATGATGCCTGAAACTGTTAAAAAGACCCCTTAAACCCTTTTTCTGCCGGTTGAGACTCAGGGATTTCTGCTCAGCAACAGGGAAACTACATTCATTGTGACAGCTACTGCGGAGATCTCCAGCCGAGTCCCTTTGGCTGTGGTATTCAAAGTCTCCAGCTGAGGTGAACCCAACTCGTGAATTGTCATCATAACTAACCTTGCTCAGCCCATCATGGGTCTTGCTTTTGGGGAACCCTTTCTTAGAAGACCACTTGTTCTGATTTTTACTCCTTCCACCGAAAAAACTTGGTAAGATACAGATGCCTTTACGAACTCCGAAAAATGTCAAGGCAGTCCTTCTAAATTTTCCAGGTTTCTGGGATTTGACCACAGAGTTCATTGTATCCAACTGAAGCTCTTCGGTGATGTCATCGGGGCTGCAGCGGGAAAGCTGTTTGCAGGCTGAGGCCCCATCCTTAGAGTCATTTGGTAGCTCATCTACCTTACAAGAAGCCATAGCTACCAAATTTAAAGAGATAGTCGGACAGAAGTCATAGTTGCTGAATTTTCAAAACCAGCTGATAGGTCCACTGCAGTGAATTTGTCCTCCATCTGATATGAGCCCTGTGTTGAGAAAGTTAAAGGAAATCATTGATCCGTTCAAATCTATCATCAGCACCAACAATATGGTTTCACAACCAAAGATTCACAAAGCAAGTTTTAAACCTTATTTTCATTAGGGGGATGGAAAGATGGAAAGAAATATTGTATTTGTTTTTAGACATAATTAGACAGTTTAGATGTACATAAGCATGAGCTCTTGTTTTCCTCTATTACTGTTCAATGTTTGTATGGCCAGTTACAGGGGGTTGGTTATGACCAATGTCTGACTTACTGCCTTTTATGGCAGCAAAATAAATCTTCATTTTCATCTTTATCGCAATATAATCATTGAGCAGTCTGAATTTATTGCAATAAAAATATTTTTGATGTAAACAATCAGGGCACAGAAACTGAGACTGTAGACAAATTATGACTGAAAAAGATCAGTGTATCTGCCGGACAGAGTCGCAATCTGCTTTAAGACCAATAAGAAAGATGATGTGCCCATGTAATATGTTGTTTTATTGTTTCTTTTGTTTCTTTTTTAGGCCTTTGATCAATAGTGCACTGGTCCTTAAGTCTTAACTAATTTAACTAATTAGCATAACAGTATGCTTACTCTCAATCAGACATATTTAAGATATTCTCTTCTCAAAACGATCAATATAAACAAATGCAGGAAGATTTTTTTTAAATATTATTGTAGTGTCAATGTAGTAGGTAACAAGGATAATAGGTAAAGAATCTATTTTCAGAAGATACATGTCGTATTTTGTGGGAAACCACAACTACACTACACAAGTACAGCCTTGCCATAAATTACACGTGTAACAGAGAAATACACTGGCAGACTAAAATAAAAGTATCCAGCACATTTATGTTAAACTTAAACAAAGATTCATTGCACATTAGATATAATAAAAGGCCTTGGGGCCAAGCAAGAAGCGCATCTGTCCTGCAGCTCAGCAGCTCTAACACCATGTGAAGGTGGGTCATTATTAACACACCCAAAATGAACTTTAAACAGGAGCATTGGCAAAGACAATCGTGGATAGCCAATTCTGACTCTAGACAAGGCAAACCAGGTGAAACACTGGCACTTTACTGTGGAGCTAGCTGTAACGAATCATAAAGTAAACAAACTTACCCACTAGAGTCAAGATCTCGCAGACACTGGTGTTGTTTCTTTCCCCGGGGACGAGGTTAACCTCTCACTGCATGCCCACTGATGTCTCTTTAACTCTACTATTTCATTAAGCAGGCCCCCTGTGCTGCTTGGACAAGGCACGGTTTTATTTGTTTCCAGCTATCGTGAGCTAGCAGCGGTGCATGCTAGCAGCATTACCTTCACTCCTGCAGTGTGTGACTGTGAGAGTCTGTCGGTGTAAACACGAAGAACACCTACACAGGGGCTTGATCAATGCGCGAGGTTCAGCCACGCGTGCCGATTGTGAAACTGATGTTGACAATAAACGCCAGAGTTTAAGTGTTGCATGATGACTTCCTCTCCCGACTTCTCAGGTAAATCACCCAAATCTCCTTTTGTTAATCTCCTCCCGGCGCACGCTAGTGACGCAACATGTGTGCAACGTGTGTTCTATGACGTACTATTCATAATAATATAAATGGAACGACAACTAATATATATAATAAATAATAACAATAAATATTATTTATTGTTATTATTATTAGTAGCAGCAGTAATAGTAGAATAGGGCTACATTTTTCTAACCATACCAGTTTAATGCTGAAATAAAACAAACAAAAGCTTATAATATCCCCGCTCTTGTTTCATAAAAATATGTGCATCCAATTGTAAAATTTTGAAATCCTCATATTCTTCACTGCTTAACAGATGAGGAGATGATGTTATGTTATCTATCTACATAATGTATTTTAAATGTTCAGTTTTGCACAGTGTTTTGCACATTTGTCTGCATGGGAAAGGGAGAGGATCTTGGATGAGGTGTGATGTTTTTCCCACCTGCTAGCATTAAATCATAATGAAAAAGTATTTTGAAATATAAACTTTATTCATAACTGTTGGAGCATAAACACGAATCATTGCCAGCAGGACGTGTAAATGAGACAATACACATAAAATATAAAATAAATAACAAAAATACAATAAATAAAACATTTGGGGAAAAAAGGGGTGGATAATCAGTTCTGTTTAAAAATGGAAATTATGTGAATGTCATTTTAATCTTGATTCATGAATACTGATAGTGGTAGTTTACTTTTTTTTTAAATTTGAGTTGTGAATGAAATTGTAGCTGAAGTCAGAAAAAGAGTAGTCACAAACAAGCCTTTCTATAAGCAGTTCATTTCAGGAGAAGGAAAAAGAGAGAGCTGAATTATTAATGACATATAGTGAGGGGGAAACACTAAAAACGTTCTTCTTTACAGCCACAAACACTGAACATACATTTAAAGCAAGTCACACAGACAGAGCAGCAACAATATGCCCTTTTCAAAATTTGGTAAAACTTAATGCTACAGTAAAAATAATTTTAATACAGTGCAGTCTGGTATTATTTACAGTATAAGTCAAATCTACTGAGAGTGAATTAAGTTTTTACAGTGCAATTTTGAGTTTTCACACAGCAAACAAGCATAAAACTGCTTATTTGCTCTTGTGCTTGGTTAATACATTCAAAGTGCTTTTAAATTATTTTGGTCCTCTTCATATATCCAATGCTTAAGTTACTGTTGATCTTCTTGAAACCAAAAGTGAGGGATTTTCTTAATCGTATATTTTTTCCAGTCATGTTTTGGACTGCCGGACATCTGTCCACTCCATTTTTGTGCTTTGCAGTGCTTGTGTCTTCTTCTCATCCACCTTCACGTAATCCACTCTGTGCTCATCAGTCAGAAAGGGCTTCTGCCAAACACAAAGAGATGTAATACAATTACATTTAATAAAAAGATTTTACAATGACAATAATGTTGTACTTGTATGAAATCACAATCATGTAATACTTCTTCACAGCTAAAATAGTAGCATCATAGCGTTATAACCTGCTGTAGAATATAAAAAGAAACAGAGATAAAGAAGTTACAGACGCTATTGTTGCATAAAACAGCAGTTTTGACAAAACAGATTGGGTATATATTATATAGCCTATATCTACTGTGTGTATGTGTGTGTGTATGTGTGTGTATGTGTGTGTGTATATATACATGTATCCAATCAAACCATACCTTCAGCACAGGAGAGGGGGATGCTGAATTGAAAACCAGTGACAAATAGTCCAGGTTTGATCTTCTTGCCAACGCCTGAACCGTTCCGTCGAAAGTTAGAGAAAAGTGTTTCATTGATTACTTTGCTGAGTCATCACTGCTCACACTTAAAACAAAATAATTACATTTCCCAAAATGTCAACTTTGAAAGTTTTACATTGTCAAGTTCATATGTGCTGCATTCATAGTAAAAGATTGATTAGATAAAAGGTATAGCCTCGGACTGTTCATTTTCAGATTGAGTAACCTTATTCTGGGAAATCAATGTATTATGCACCCTCTCCAGGAATGGGCTGGTGCAACATTACCCTGTTACATACACACTCTTGCATGCTCTGGAAAGACCCCAGTGTGATTACAATCTGCTGATCAAAATATTTTGGGAGAAAAACCTTTCCACTCCCACATTTTTTAGCTGTGTTGAGATTACATTTTTTATGTCTACTCCCACAAATTGTCCAGCAGTTAACAGAATGTCCTTTATTTCTCTCTTTTTTTTAATCTGTAGTAAAATATGTTTCTTTTGTTGATTCAAGCTAAACGACAAAGATGGCATAATTATTAATAATGTCTTTAACCAAGAAGAGATAGAATAGCTCCAGCTTGTCTTTATTCCATGTTAGCCAGATCTGGTCAAATAGGTACAATATCTTTAGCTGATGAATTGTTGGGACATTGTTGGAAATTGAAAATGATTTCACAATACATGATAAAGTCTTTATACTATAAGTTTATGAAAATGTGAAAATGTTACCACTTCAGTGCAGTCTGTTTCTTCATTCCTAGGATTGTCCCCATTTTCAAGTCTTCTTTCAAGAGGTAACAACTGCATTGAAAAGCTGTAATTACACAAATCATGGGATAAGTTTACATCATAGTGGCAAAAACCTTTATACAAACACAGGAATAATTCTTTACTTGTGCAAGTAAATTATATTAAAAAACAGGGTCCAATATGCTTTCTGGAGTAAGACAGTTTTTTTTTATGTGATACATGTTTTCAAACTCTTGTTTTGAAAAGAATATTTATATTTAAACTTTAATCTGAATAAGGTCAAACTGTGTCAACATTGAATTTTTTTGTCCACATCTATACGGTCAAAATTAAGAATTGGGCTTTAAATGCAATTCTCTTCTTTTCTGTTTAAAATACCAATTGTAATTTTAGTTAACTATGTAGAGAGCCTTGGGAAAGGAAGACTTTGTACATGCTCTTTTTTTCTCTCACCATGTTTCTGTCATGGCTCTGCTCAGAGGAAGGTGAGTGGGACATTCTGTGATTGTAGAGAGGCCTCTTAAGTCAAGAGGTGGGGGTCGAACTGTGAACCAACAAAGGACAAAGTTATTATAGTGGTTGCAGTTCCTTTGTGTGCAAAGGAAAGGTAAGATTACAAAAGTGATGCATAACAAAGGTCACTGTGCTTGTCCTGATATGTACAATTATGTGTCATAAGCACAGCTACGTGACTAAGGCTATGAATTAGCATGCTGACAAGTTTGTACATCTGTTCACCGTTTAAACCAGTTAACAAAGGTCACATATCTAGACACATCATGATCGTCTTTAACTTGAACCAAACAGGGCTCTCACCTCGCCTCAAACGAGGCTTCAGATGCCGGTGAATTGGGGGCGGTGCAAGATCTCCAGGTTGACACATCAGTGGTGTGGAGGACTCGATGTTGTTGTTTGCACTGGGGAAGCTGAATGTCCTGGGGCTCATGGGGATGTAACCATCAGATTCAGTGGTGGTTAAAAAAGGAGAAGGGGAAGCCATGGGCATATATGACTCTTCCTCGTAGTTTTGAACTCGTATGGTATTTAAAGACGGCTGTCGAAAGACAAAGCATTATATGATCAGGCACATCCACCATATTAAGTTCAAGTTGTAAATGCTGCTGTCTGTTGAATGTTTATGTTCCTTTCAAATTATTTAGATTACTTTTGAATTTATTTGTAGAAATAAACTCTCTACAGTGGCTTTGATGGAGTCATGTGAAACCCAATACTATTGTCATGACCCAACAGTAAATATGAGACTACAGAGAGCAAGCTAGTTAGCTTAGCTTAGCACAAAGAAAGGAAACAGTAAGAAACAGCTAGCTCCTTTCAGAACTGTTCAAATCTGTCCAGCAACAGCAGCTACCTAACAAACTTTATTATTTTTTTTTTTCATCAGCAAAAAAGTATTAAGAGACATTGTGGATCGTTTTGAGCAAATCTGTCTTGTTTCCTGCTGGACTATTTCTTTGCTGGGTGCAGTGGCTTTGTGAAGTCTTATCATGTCATGCAAGGCAACCAGCAAAGAGTCCAGTTGTGGAAGAGAAAGCTAACCATCTCACGGATGTAGCTTTAGCTCAAGCAGAAACAACAGGAAGATTAGGTGCCTTAAATGAGATACATACTGCTAAGCTAAGCTAACTAGCCGCTGGACCTTGTTATATACTTATGGCACAGACATGAATATGAATCAGTCTTTTCATTTAACTCTTGAAAGAAGAAGAAGAAGAAGAAGAAGAAGAAGAAGAAGAAGAAGAAGGGAAAAGTCAATATACCAAAGTGCCAAATGTCAAAATGTCTATTTTTGTACAAATTTCTTACCAAATTAAGACTCTGTCTTCTGTTCCGCATCAATCTACTACCAGCATCTCCTACAACAGAGATATATAATTAAAAGACTTTAGTTTAAAAGTTTACCAGTCAGCTATAGTTGTCATGCTGTGCCGTCATAATAACACTAAGGGTTGTAATTAATTTTGTTACAACCCAGCTCTCAGTTTTTGTATTATACTTACTGTGAGACTGCTCTCCTATCGCGCACATACCTATTCTTAAATGGTCCAGGCTTGACATAGATGTCCTCCGGGGAAATAGAACACTGTGACTTGAGAAATGTTGTGTGCTCTTCCCCCTCGGCTTGTTCATTCCCTCATCACTTAGCTGCTCTGACAGGTGGTTGGGTTTTGGTGGCAGCGGAGGGGGTGTTTGTGTGTCGCTCATTGCCTCAAATGATGCAGAAGAGTAAAGTTTGTCGAACTGGAAGACGCTTGTAGCACAGTGGCGAAGTGGAGAGGAGGAGGAGGCTGGCAGAGCCAGGGAGGTGCATGGAGCACTGAAAGGAGGGATAGTCAATCTTCCATGGATGAAGACGGGTGGAGTGGGGCTGTGAGCGTGAGAGATGCAGGAGGAAGTGGAATCAGTGAACAGAGGAGAAGGGGCAATGTCTTTGACCGCGTCATCCGATGACTTCTGCTCCAGGGAGCTCTCAGAGTTTGAGAAACTGTCAAGTCTACAATAAGAGGAAAAATAAAACATCTTTCTTAAACACAAGCTAATGTTGCTTTATTCTCCATGTGTTAAATTATTAATGAGATTTTACATACCGACTAGTGCTCAAACTCCCCGTCTCACACTGAGAGAGGAATAGGTAGTCCAGTGGATAACTGGAATCAAGCTGGCTGGATACAGACACTCTGTCGGAGCTGTCAGGGGACGGCTGGAGGGGAGTGGGGGTGTGAGGGAAGCCTTCTTCTGAGCTCTCTGTTCAGATCAAGCAGAGAGGAATAGAGAGCGGGTAGTTTCGAAAATGTTACAACCTCTTCGAAGAAAACTGCCGTCATGCTGACACCAATAGCTATTGGTGTAACCACAAACACACACATTTCTTATAACCTATACTTTAATGTAGAGTGGGTGAATCTGAAGAGAATTTTTTTTTTTTCAGGTAGTCTTTTAGTCAGATTGACCTTGGTTCATAAATGTGTCTTATTCCATTTCTCTCAAGGCCACCAAGTAGTCAAGGCTGTGTCTGCCGAACCATGGAAGGGGGAAAAAAAAATCAAAAAGACTTTGCTTGTTCTCATAAAACATTTGCGAGCCTTAAAGGACGTTTATGTTCTCTTGTGGGCGCAGAGACATCTTTTATAATCCTTTGCAAAAGTAATGATGTGCCATCTTACAAAACCCTTTCCAGATCCAGGCTGGATCTACTTCTACTGTCTAAAACCCCTTAGATTAAGCAACATGGCTTTATTCTAAAATGCCATTAAACCCATGACAACAGTCTTCAAAATCACATTGTTAAGAGTGTTTAATAAACTTTGCATTTGTATCAACTACTTATGTGTTGCTTTCTCAGAGCTATGGTGATTTACAGCAACATGCAGGCATTATCAGCAACTTTGTGGTGTTTCTCTATCTCCTTCACACAGACGACAGTTTTCTAACAGACATGTCCCTAACTGTCCTCTCGCAATATCACTGCATTCATTTTAAGTATATATTACCGGTATAGCATGATTATTGTGTGTTTGCAAATATAAAAATAAAAGTCAAAATAATAAGAATACTGCCAATTCATTGTGGTAATTGTGATTTATCATTTAAAAAGCTGCCCCTGAAAGATGTTTAATTCTGTGGTGGGCCAATAAGCGGTACACTATGTGACAGGCGAATCGTCACAACAACAACTTGGAAACAGATGCAAACAGATTAATGATAAAACAAGATGACTTTACCATAACTTGACTGCAATTCAAACCAAACTCAAACATGAACTTGTTTACACTGCTGCTACAAAAACCAATCCCGGATATGATTTGTATCAAATGGTTTTGAATATAATGTTTATGTCTATGATTGTTTGCAGGTTTATGAGCTCAGTTAGTGAGAAATGTAGCCGCTTGATATATAATGCATGCTAACCACAAGACTGGATCAAAGTTGGATCATCAACAAACGATCCATGCAGTACCCAGTAAAAGTAGAGCAAATAGTCAGTTAAAGGGGCGGGACCTGGGTTGGGTTTGCTGGTTCAAGTCCTGTTGCAGACCAAGTTTGGAAATTGGGCCGGTAGCTGAAGAGGTATACCCACCACTACTCGGGTGCTCTTTTATGTTCAGCCCCTCACTCTAACCTTCTCCATGAGTTCATGACATAAGATCCTGTGTGTGTGTGTGTGTGTGTGTGTGTGTGTGTGTGTGTGTGTGTGTGTGTGTGTGTGTGTGTGTGTGTGTGTGTGTGTGTGTGTGTGTGTGTGTGTGTGTGTGTGTGTGTGTGTGTGTGTATTTCAGCCTATGTGCTAGGTGTTTAGCACGTCTCAACGACAGAGTGAAAAAAATTGAATTCACTCTCTGGGACTAAAAAAGTATATCTTCTTCTTTGTATCTTCTTTGGAAGTATCATTGATGTTGTGTGAATCATTTGACAAATGTTGCCTGAAACGGTCAAAATATGAATCTTTAGGACTTAAAGGTTATTAAAAAAATTGCACACGACATACACTGGACGGAATCAATTCACCACTGTGTTTACTGCAGATTAGTTAAAGCTTTTGTTTGGACAGTTTTAAAGGAATTTACTGAAAGACAATGTGATATGCCAGTAAACTGCACCTTTGAAGTCTGTGGTGTTTTGTTTTTAACCCAAAACCAAACAGCACCAAATAAACAGTTTGTTTTGACCTCATTTTAAAGTATACCTCTGAGTTCACCACTTCCTGATCTAGGAGGTATCAGATATTGAATGTGGAACAAAGTGTGAACTTTCCAAAGTACATCTTCCAGTTAACACCCATTTTTTTGTGATGTTCACGTTAAACAAAAAGGCATGTCAGGTGTAGCTTCACATATCAACATATCAAATTAAACAGAATCAAATCTTTCTGTATATTCACCTGCATCCTCCAGGCTCGCGAACTGGCAGATCTGGCTGATGCTGCTAATCCAGCTGTTCATCTCCTCCTCTGTTTTGGCCACCAGGTAGAAGATACGAGACAAGGTCTTCACCACAAAGAGGTGCTTCCAGTGAAAGTCTCGTTTTATCCTGAGTTGCCCATTCAGCATTTCCACCTCGCACTCTTTGAGGTCAATGATGCGGATAGGCTTTTTGGAGTTCTTACTCTGATAGTACTCCAGTACGTCTGGATTACCGCTCATTCGACCTCTTCGGAGCACGAACCAGCGTTTTCTCCAGGCCTGCGGGAGAAAGCAACACACTGTTTAAACAGCCTTAAAATTAAATATGATGTATATCCTCACACTTGTGTTATCGTGTAGTGCTGCACAGTTTGCACTCTAACATCCCTCCAACAACCTTACATTAGTCATGGGAATAAGATCACTGTTCCTGCTCTTCGCTGCAGCTAACTTAGCAACTTTAAACTACTTTTTTTTTTTTTTTTTTTTTTTTGCTTTTGATATGGTCAGTAAGCGGAACTTCAACCCAAGTTTCCCAGAAGTGCAAAGAAGAGGAAGTTCACTGTATTTAACAGAAAATGTCAAACACAACAACGAAAGAGGTATTTATATAGTTCTGGGTCACAGTTTTCTACTGAAGACTTGTGCAAACTTAACAAAATATGTAACACATACGTCCTCACTACTTCTGCAAGTAAGCCCAATGTTGTAGTTGTCAAGTTGCATATATAAAAATAGTTATGACGAAATCTACTTTCAATCTACTAGTAATGTGTAAGTCATCGTATAGGTTTCACATTTGGATTTGTGGCTTTCTGTGCATCATCAGTGAGAACACAGAAAGACATGAGGGTATTTTGCTCCTGCTCAAATCCGTTAGTAACGTGTCGTGTGTGTTTAGACCAGGAAATGGTGAAACAGGCCACATGTACAGCCAATACCTCCACAAGATTTCAGAGGAAACCATAACTCATAGGCAGATAGCATTTTGATCCGAGAGACGTTTTGTGATTTTGGAAAGTTACACACAAATTAAATATTTATGTGATATCCAGGGCCACCCAAGTTTTATTTTTAAGTTTTATTTTTGCTTATCCGGAAAAAAAGCAGATGATCAAAGTCCTTCATAACTGATAATTAAAATAGACATGTGACCTTTTCCTTCTATATTTCAAACAAGAACAAGGGAGTTTCACTTAGAAGTAGATGTCTGACAATAAAGTATAAACTTGTGATTCAACCGTCGGCTTCACAAAGAAATTCCACCCACTTCTCGTGGTCTTCTTCTTCAGATGTAGATTCATAGCTGGGGTAATGTCACCTAAGAGCTCTCAGGTCAGTGGAGGTGACAACTGGGCAACTTTACTGAACCTTGAGAGATTTTTTTTCTTTTCTTTACAGAATTGGACTTGTCATAGAGGTTGAAGCTCAAGTGTTACTAATGACGTTAACGATGGTTCTGTTTTATTAAACGTGTCATCGTCAGCCAGGACTGCGTGACAGTGAGTCAGCATGCAAAGTATCAGGACCCTCTAACTGAAGCAGTTTAATGGAATTCAGCCATTTTCCTGTCATAATTTACACCTCTGCACATAATGTGACCTGTCAAAAAGAATTTCCGTGTGGAGGTGTATTATTGATCAGATTATAAGGTTGCCAACAATATCCCTTCTCAAAAGAGTCAAAGTAAGAAGTACGACATTTTAGATGTCCATATTTGCACAATTCAACAGATTTGTAGAGCTTAAGAGCTTCTCTTTCAACATTGTGGAAGGTAGACATTTACATTTGATAGAAAACAGTGACAAAAAGCTTTTAAAACTTACTGACATACTGTGGAAAGGACTAATAATGAGTTGAATTTTGAGGTTAATTTCGCGGATTATATATATGTAGGCCTATATGAGATACATTTATACAGGTATATATGAATCTGTCTAGATTCAAGAAAAATGCACTCATGACTAAAGACCTACTTTTCCACACTCTGTCGTAAATGGACAGAGACGGGATAAGTTCAATGTTGACAGAAAATCAGACAACTTAACTTGTTCATGTCAGAAAGGATAAGGCAATAAGTGTGTTGTACATTCAGGTTTGTTGTGTTGTTGATCATGTTCTTAAATAAGATACTTAAGTACTCAAAGTCAGTGGCTGAAGATTTTCATTTCATAATACCATAAACAAAGCACAACAAAGCATAAACCACATTTCCATAATGCCATGTGGCAGTACTTGCTATTTGAATAATTGGCCTGATAGTGTTTCTGCCCTTACACTAGTCTGAAAAACATGTAATTCCTTTGCACTCTGAAATCAGGATTTGCGTATTGTGTTAAAATAAGTTTCTATTTTTTGCCCAACACCCCATCAAAGCACAAACTCACCTCCACCCACCTTTTCCCTATACACAACTGTTGACAAATAATGGCCCACCTCCACCTCCTCCTCAAACTCCTCCTCCTACTCCTCTTCCCCCTCCACTGGTACAGAGGAAGTGCATTAAACAGCCATCATAAAGCTGGACTATTTCTGCTTGTCATTTAAGTCTGAAGTGTCTGGGTGCCTGACATTACTTCCCATGTTTCACAATTTTGCACACACTCATCACTAAACACACAAACACACACACACGCATGCACACACACACACACACACACACACTCACACACACACACACACACACACACACACACACACACACACACTCACAGCAGAGTGAGTGTCCAGCCCAACATTATCACATGACCTCAACAACCACAAAACATTGACGGCTGTATGTTGTTGATGTTCAAACTACATACACATTATTCCATGTGTTTGTGGGGCACATCTGCATGTGTATTTAGGATTATTGACAGATTATAATGTTCTTAGAGATACAAAGTGCATCAAAACGCTGAAAATACTAAAGCAAGATGCCAATAAAGAATTGAGGAAGATGATAGAAAGGAGACTGAAAACCAGCTCAGTTGGACAAAAGCACATACAACCCACGGTATCTTTCTAAATCATCACTCCACGTCATAACACACACACACATATCTCTACACAAAAACACAAGCCTCAACAGCACAACCCGGCTTTCCTACTAGCTGGCAGAGGACATAAACAAGAGTCCGGCGTGTACTCCTACTCACAAATCTCTTTAGTTTCTTCTCTGGGGGGGATTTAATGAGCCAGCCGTAGCAGACCACATCCCCAGCACTCATCTTGACTGCAGAGTGTGTCGTCCTCTCGGCTGCTGCTGCTGCTGCTAGTGCTTTAAGTGCTGCCTCTGCTGCTGCTGCTGCTATGAGACTGAGAGGTACTGCGAAGCATATCCTGTGTTCTGGTATTCAGCGCAGCCACTCCAAAAGGAGGAAGTTAAAGAAATTGATCACACTGACAAGAGAGAAGAGAGAGTGAGAGCAAGGCAGAGACAGAGAGAGAGAGAGAGAGAGAGAGAGAGAGAGAGAGAGAGAGAGACAGACAGACAGAGAGAGAGAGAAAAAGACAGAATTATGTGTTTGTTTTTGCAAGTGCTCCGGGCAAGTGTATGGAGCAGTTGGCCTGTGGGGGCGTTAAAGGGAAGGGGGGGGGGGGGGGGGTACTACACATAATGAGGTTTGACAGGTTTGAGGACACAGTTGTAATAGACAGTAACATACTACAACTCACATGTTGCCACAAGATCTTATCATGAGGTTCACATTTAGAATGTTTAACTGTTTCAATTTTCATATTGTAATAGGTTTTTTTTTTTTTTGTTCAATTTGGAATCTGAATTCTGAAGAAGTTGTTTTAACAGCTACACTAATAAAGGCTTTCAGGGAGATGTACACATTATTTTAACTTCTCGTCACACTGGGCTGAACCCTTTTGTAAATTCAATAATGCCAATTTAAAGATTAATCAACAATCTTTTTAACTGTTTTCCTTTTGGAGCTTTGACATGTTACCAGCTTCAATTTGAAATGATATAGTATATTTTTTTGTTTTTAAGATTCTCAACAGTAGGCGTACAACTGTTTATTTCCCTCCGCTATTCGTTACTCCACTCCTATAAAAATGTAAATACGAAACACAAAGACCAATTCATTAGGTGTGAGCCTAGTTTTCAATAAAGCCTGATTCTAAATCTGACGGCGGAGACGTTTCAAAAGCAAACCTTCATAGGTTAACACTCTTTAGAGATTGTTTACAGTTTCATGCCGCAAATAGTTTTATGCATTCCATGATCTTTTCACATTTAGACCATTATCTAACATCTAAGTCACAAGCAGCTCCTACAACAATCAGGCCTCTTCAGAAAATATATAACCATGCAATCAACATTTTGCAAAGGCAGCTGAAAAGATGCCAGCACTGTTGTATTTGCGATCGCTTCATTGAAAGTGCTGGTATTACATGTATGCCTAAAATGCTTTGAGTGCTTGTCATAGACATGATGGTCTACCTCTCTGGGTCTCAGTAACACTGAATCTATGAGGCGCAGCAGTAATAACTCAACAAGACAACTTTCTGTTGACTTTGACACATCATTGATCAATTAGATGAAAAAGGCATTAAGGAATTGTTTAGGTACAAACAATGTGACATTCTATTTAAGATGAAGATTAAGATTTACTTTTATTGATCCCCGCAAGGGGAAATTCTGTTTTTACACTCTGTTAATCATAAAACACACACTTTGGTGCCTTGCTCAAGGGCACCTCGGCAGTGCTCAGGAAGTGATCATTGCCTTTAAAGAAACACACACACCGAAGCGGAGCGTTCTGAGAGAGCTGGTTTATACAGGGTCCCAAACCTCCTCTGGTGCTTGAGCAAAGATGTTTCATTTAGACTGTTTTAAAAGGTAGAAAAGGAGTATAATATGTCCTCTCTAAAACGTATGGCTCTGTATGACCTACAAAATCAAACAAGATCATCAGTGAGAAAACTGACTGTATCTATAAAGTATTTTTAATACCTGTCACCCTCAATGTCAGAAAAAGCTTTAAGAAAATGCTGGCGGAACAGCTGTTGTTTACATTTTCCACAGCAAAGATTTGCAGTGCAGATACGTTTAACTGTCAAAAGAAAGCAGAATGACGTGTGAAAAACGTGGCAAGAACCTTTGCCATCTCACCAGCACCACTTTAGATTTCCTCTTTGAAAGGAAGTAAACAAATCCTCATTGTCTAGCTGAAAATGATTTCCTATCACGAATAATCAACTTCCCTTACATTTGAAAGAAGCCACATAACGCACCGACTTGTTGATCTGCTGCAGAATCAAACAAAAGGAACTTTCACATAAAGTATTCGGTAGGTCATTTGAGCCCACGTTAAACAGCGTGTCTTACACATTTCCTGTCATGTCTTGAACCACCACCAGAGGGCGACATTAAATATTGTTACAGTGGACATCCATCAATCACCACGTATATTTTATAATCATAATACAAGAATGAGTAAAAATCGAAAAGCTCCCTTTTTTTTAGTTTATAATAAATATACATGTGATAATAACCCAAGCAAAATCATGTGTTACATGACATGTTTGGTAAATCCAAATTATTGTTGCCTATTATTGCCTATCAACTTGACACTAACGCTTATTTACACGCACAAAAATAGCCTACACAAAAACCGTATAACAACGCACTTCTTATCTTTTTTACCTACCTTCCTCATCTGTATTTATTTCTTTGTTAACGCTGGATGGAAAACTTTTTCTAAAAGGGTTGCTTTATCTTACAAGTAAACTCATGAGGGCAGTAGTTCCACTTCAGCTGCATTGAATCTGTAAACGAGAAGAGTAAAAGAAGAGGGTTTACGGCAGCTGTCAAAGAGTCTATAAGACAAGAGTGACAAACTGATACCAGTCGACGTAACAACTTTAAACATGGAGCATAAACAGAGAAAAACCGCAGTTTAAGTCCTGCAGATGTTGTTTTTAGGTTTTCAAAAAAAGTTTGCTGTTTTTTTTCCACAAAGCAACAAAACAATTTCTTGTCTATTAAGAGTTATTAAAAAAATACCTTCAGCGCTGTCACTGACATATTTGCCGACGCCATTTTTTTTTTTTTTTCTTTCCCAATGGCGTTATCCTACTTTTGGACTCCTGGTGGTGACCCATCTTCCGTATTCAGAGAGTCTTTTCCCATTACCCATAATCCCGCTGAAGCGTATGACCTGTCTCTGGCCTTGGCGTGTAGCGTGGTGCTACTAGTTGGCGGTGTGTACCGGCAGCAGGACTTGTTTAGCGTTAACTAGCCAGGTGTTCACGTCCGACAAGTCGGCCAGGTAGCTGGGAACCGTCAGAGCGGAGCGGAGTCACAATGCTGAAATGTAGAACAGTATGGAGAAAGCTTGCACCTCTAGCTAGAGCTTCATCAACTGTGTGCAGACAGAATGTGAGACGAACAGGTAAGTCACTAGTCACTTGCTGCCTCCTTCTTTAGCTTGATTCAACTCTAACATGTATTAGTAGCATGACATTACACAGCGCTGACTGTATGTTAAATCAGACAGGCCGCTTCTGGTCGCTATGGTGACCTTCGCTTGGTAGAGACAGCTCACCTTAACTGAGGTAATAAGCAGAAGTTATTGACAGTGCTGTAACTAACTAAACACAGTGCCCTCCCCTGACTGTTGCCCAGTCACAGGCAAGTGAAGTCGTAATTTCTGTGGCATATGTTTTAACATGTCATGAAGCAATGTTAGATGCTGTGTGGGGTTATAAAGTAAGAAGTGAAACTGTCAGTGACCCTGTAAGGAGAACAGGCTGCACTCCTGCTGACCATGTCTTTAAGTGATGAATGAATGGAGGCAATAAAAGAAAGTTGTGCATTAGATGGGTTGATCATAATGAGGATTAAAGCCTCTTAACTCAACTCAGATTATGTGGGGCTTTCTTAGTTAACCTAATTTAATTTGCATTACCAGATTGTGATAGTACCCACAAGACAAAGCTGTTGTGGTGTATTATTGCCTCGCATATGAGTGTAGTATTCTTATTATTCTTATTCTGCAGATATTCAAGTCAGCAGCACCTTTACTAATAGTTCAACCTCTAACAGTTTTAGTTAACACCTCTAACCTCAACAGCTGGACAGTCATTAAATTCTTTGTCTCTGTATTTCACATTTTAACCAGGCTGACAACTCTGTTCATTTAGAACATAGTATCATTAGTGTAAAAGTAACTTAATGCTTTACAGCTTGTTATCCTCACTGGACAGGTGCTGTGGACGTACATAGTTTGAATACATTACCATCAGACACCTTTTCTTACAAGCTTTAGGCTAATACAAAGATGATGAGTGTGTGGTTTGTGCTTGTGACTCCTCACCTCATCTGTAACCCTTTTCACACATACAGAAATCTCCTGAAAAACTCCTCGGATTTTGGCTACCCTGAGGTGCTTTAGGCTATGTGTGAACGCAAACAGCCACATTTTTCTCCGGCCAGACCCCTAGTATTTTATCCGCAGAAAATCCGAGTGAGCTGATGTCTGAACGCGGCCGAATATACTCTGGAGACTTCAACTAGAGCCAATAGAAAGAGAATGACGTTTATATACAGTGACTGCCTAAAGTGTCTGCAGGCGACCACTACGATCTCCATGCATGTAATTGAACGGCTGCATTATGTTTTCTGTCATCAGTATATTGTTCTCCTCTCTCTTGTGGATGTTGTCATTCCATTGGATTACACATAGCATTGATGTAAAGGCAAATATTCTCATTAGAACGTTATGTTGCTTCGGCTGCTATTCCGCGTTGTTTATTTACGTTACATCTGACCTCAGGAAATCCTCCGACCCCCCCCTCCCCTCTGACAGGGAAAGTCCCCTGCTGTGAGGAGCATATGTGAACGGCTAGGTCGGGAGAATCTCCAGAGAAGTCCTCCTGTAATTATCTAGATATTATCCGGAGTGCATATGTGAAAACGGCTGTTGTTACTCTCCAACCTGTAGCAAAGAGAGATCTTATTTAGGGACCAGTGAATAAATATTGTATTCAGTGTTTTGGCAGCAGACTGCTGCTATCAGATAAGCTTTATAAACACAAACATAAAGATAGGAGAGCATCTCCTGCCATGTTATTGAATCCACTGAAACCATATATTACTGAAGAAGAATCAGAATCGGGGTTTATTGCCAAGTACATTTATTTACACATACAAGGAATTTGACTTGGTGTATTGGGGCTAAACAATTAACAAGGAAATAAAGCAGAACTAGCAACAACTTAAATAATACAGTATAAGAAGCTATTACAATATATAAAATAGAATTTAAAAATGTAAAATCTGAAAAATAAATAAAAATAAAAAACACAAAATGTGTAATGTAGGAGCTGTGCAGTGGACTATGAGAAAAAAAATCTGTGTGTTTAACTACTCACAGAGTAAAGTCCAGTGGGCGTTAATGTAACGCTTAAAAAACAGTTCAGCATTCACAAAAACATGAGACATCTAACTCTAAACTGTTGTATTCGTTAAAGGTGTTTAATACCTAATTGCACTGCAGCTGTGACACCTCTGAATTATGCTTGAGAGTGTCACAGTTGTTTGACTGTATTGATGATGTTATTTGAACAGTTTTAAGACTTTGTGATTTGTCTAATTCTTTTCAGGATTAACCCATGGCCGACTACCAGCACAAGTTCCTGCGGCTCATATGTCCACTGGGCCTGCAGGGGGAGGCCGGGAAAACCAGCTGTACTTCCTTCTGGTTGGAGTAGCCTGCGTTGGAGGTGGAGTTTATGTGAGTGGGCTTCATACCTCATTAAATGCAGGACATGCACTGAACATAGCATCAGCTAAGCAGAGTCACAGTTGAATGTGTTTTAAGTTTGTTTTTTTGTTTTTTTACTCTTTTTATTTTATTTTTCAAAATTTGAAAAAAATAAATGTAAACTATAAATGTAAGCAAAGCAGATTTCTTCAGTTGCATCCTTCCTGTAAATATTAATTTTTATAATTCTCTATGTTTAAAAAGGGTGTAGGATGAAGTTAAGAGCTAACCTGGTCCATTTAATCGGTTAGGTCAATGCTGAGGCATTCACAATAACACCAAGGAATACAGACGCCCATAGAGCAATAAAATTCAACATCAAAACAATATGAATAACAAATCAATGTGTGTGTGTGTGTGTGTGTGTGTGTGTGTATATATATATATATATATATATATATATATACACACACACACACAGTATACTTGGTTTACATCTCAACCCCCTTTTTCCATTCTGTTAAATATGATGTTTTTGAAGATTTCCTTAAACTTTAGTTATGTAAAGCTTTCAGTTCCTGACTATAGCTGTCCCATAGATTTGCTACTTTTGTTGTGATACACTTTTGTTTTCACAGGCATACCGAACTGTAAAGGGGGACCAACTACGATATCAGGACCGTATTGATGAGATTGCTTCCAGACAAGAGAAGTTCAACACAGAAAAGCCAGACACACCCAGCGAGTCGGAGCCTCCCGGTGAGCCCGTGTTAGCAGTTGAATGTAATGATCATAAAAGCTTAAGCCATTTATTTCACTCTATATAAAAAAGGTTCTCTGATTTATTTAAAGCTTTTAATTTAAATGCCCTGTCAGGCAGAACAACATTCCTGTGAAAAACGTTTGGTATGACCTATTCAGAATGTATCTGTGCTGATTGTGTCTGTTTGTTGTTGTTATCCTTTCAGCTGTGGAAGCCACTGAGACACAGGGTGAGTCATTTCTCTCTCATTTGAGTAGATTTTAATCTTAACATGTAGATCAAACTCCATGTCTTTTAATGACTTCATAGGTAGTAAAACATACTTACAATAAACAGAGAGCTAGAAACATCTCAAGAAAACGAGCGCCATGTTTTGTTTCCTGTTTGACTCTTTATCAAAAGAAAAATGTTTCTATTAATCCACAAGAAAATACTTTTTCATGGAATAGTTTGCTTGGTTAGCTGACTCTGGAGTGCATGGTTCAGTTTACTGCTTGTTGCCATGTTAACAGCTGTTTCAGACTGCAAAACAAACTCAAACACATTCAATTTTCTGGCAGATGTACAATCTAAATGTCATGTAACACACAAGAATATGTTTAATGTCTACTTAATAATTCCATGAAATCTTTTCATTTCTCTCTCAGTTGTCCCTAAGCCAGAACCACAGGCAGAACCTGTACCAGAACCACAAGCAGAACCCTTACCAGAGGAGCCAAGCCCCCCTGTCCCTGACGCTGAAGTAGAAGCCCCCAGTGAAACAACTGAACCACCCCTAGGTTGTTTGCTTCCTTTTTTTTTTACATTTCTGCATGCATGCTTAACATTTACATACACATGTTTAAACATTAAAGGTCACATATTATGCAAAATACATTTTATCATGTTTTTCTAACACTATTATGTGTCCCTAGTCTGTCAACAAACCCCCCAATTATGAAAAAAAGTGCATCCTCTCTGTCTTTTACCTGCTCCACTTTAGGATGTTTAGGATGTTTTCCCCTTGTGATGTCACAAAGGGCAGTAACCCCTCCCCCAGGTGGTTGACACTCCCACAGCTAGGTGTTTGTTCTGCCCTCTCGCTGTTAACAATTGGGCATGGTGCAAGAAAGCCAGAGCCACATCCCCTTCCAGAGAGGTCCGTGGTCAGACACAGCTCATTTACATTTAAAGCTACAGACACAGAAACAGTCTGTTCTGAGCAGAGCTGAAATAGAGGCGTTTATATGCATGAGCAAATACAGGATCAGAGTGGATTTTTATCAAGAAACTTCACAGCCATGTTTTTGGGAGCTCTGAGACTTATTCAAACTGGTTGTAAAGGAGGATAATATGTGACCTTTAAGTAATAGTAAATGTGCATGATCACACCTTCACTAATACACTGTGTACACATTAAGGGCTGTAAAATGTGTCTTTTCCCTCCTCTTTTTACCCTGCTCATAATATTTCCAATGCAAAAAAAATGTACTATGTATGATGATAATGACGTATTTTATACCCGAGGACCCCTGACATCAAACTCTTTTTGTCTTGTATCTGTGTGTGTGTTTCTATACTGAAGCCTCTGTACACCCATACAGATGTTAGTGATTTAGACCAGAATTTACAATAGTTTGTTGGACTGACAGCTCCACCACCCTGTTTATTTAGAGGAAACTGTTTGGAAAGGAGGACTTCATGATCTGTTGTCATGATGGTTTGTTTTTAGAATTGATAACATCAAAAATGTCTCACCATAGATCATCTTATTTAGAATAAATAAATGGAAGCCTGTATGTGTGTACAAAGGATTCAAAAATGAACAGCATATACTTTATTTTAACACTTTTTGTTGCATGCTTTTTTAAATGTTCATTCACCTTCTTGTGTCACGTGTGTCATGGTTCATGGTTTTCTGTTTCAGTTTGCTCCGGTATAATTAACTCGGTTCCCTCTAACCTGATAAATTAACCCTCTTGTAGTTTTTCTACAACTGTTCAGACAAACATTCTCTCCTCCATTCTGAAATATTTGTGAAAATATTTCTGTTTTTTGTGAGACACTTGTCATTTCAGTTTGATGCTGTTGTGATTTGTTGTCACATGTGTTTGTGAGATGAACCTCCTCTGCTTGAGCCCTTTCTGTGAACATGTCATCATTTGTGAAATGTGGTTTGGGGTACAATCAAAAAGTGTTTTTTGTTTAACATCTAAGCGAACTGAAAGCTGCCCTTGTGAATGACATTTTTTTTACATTAGGCATTTTGTATTCTCTGTCTAAGGCTGAATTTAAAAGGGACAACCCACAACTAAATGACTAAACTTGCTGTAAATACATGATATATTTACTGTTATGATTTGTTTTACAGTTTATACAAAGTTATCTGCAAACAAGGCAGCTTCTAGTTGTTGATGTGTGAGTGTATATACTCTGCATAATGTCCTTAGGGTAAAGCTGGAGAAACAAATAGATCCTGAAGGTCTTCCCCTTCAGTAATGTTGTTAAGAGTTGTAATCCTAACCTGTGCTGTGAATTCAATAGCAGAAGAGCCAGTGGTAGAAGCCCCCCCAGAGGAGCCAGCAGAACCACATGCTGTGCCTGTAGTTGAGGAGGGTAAGAAGAAAAGACTGTTCAGATTAATGTGCCAATTTTACTGGAGAATTTTTTTTTTTTTTTTCTGATGATTCAGGTGCTTTTAAAACTTCTGTTTTTTTTTTCACCTGACCTGAGTCTATGGACCCTAGATAAAGATGGTTAATAACAACAGAGGTTATCATGTGACCTTTTACTGTACTACTAGAACCCTTGCCCCCATCTGAGCCGTCCCCAATCGAACTAACAGAGTCGCCACCGCCCCCTGAACCTCATGTGGAGAGTGGTAAGAGCTGTGCATGGAAATGCGCCCTGTGATAGTGGTGTACATTGTCCACGTCGTAGGATTTATTTTGTCTTGACTGCTTCATGCTTCGGTTATACTAACAGACCCTCCAGCAGAAGCAGCAGCAGAAAGCCCTGCAGCAGAGCCGCCTGAGCCTGAGCCTCAGCCTGAGCCTCAGCCTCAGCCTGAACTGGTGTCAGAGAGTGGTAAGACCAAAGTCCATCCTCGGTTGAAGTGGGCGAAGCGGGCAGACACTGATACTTCCTCCCATTTTTTGATAACGTTAATGTTAATTTCAAACACCTTTCTTTCCTATTTATATTTTTAACCTGTTTTCCTCATTACAGCTTTTATCCCTGCCTGTTCCTGGTTTCTTTCCACATTGTTTGAGTTCTTGTTATGATAAAGGTTAATCTCACTTACATGACATTTTTTTTTTGATTTCTTCTCCCATTTACTCCTTTCAGGTGTATTAGTGTAAGTCATGGTGACTGATGAGCAGTAAACCACATGTACTGATTGTTGTCTCTCTCTTTTGCTTTTTGCCTTTCTTCTCTACTTTCTCTCTTCACCTCATCTCTTTCTCCCGCTTGCTGTTGCTCTCTCAAACTCTAGTAGGAGAGTCCACACCTGTCTCTCTCAAGGTCCCATCGCACACCCCCTACCTTCTTATTGGTGGAGGTACTGCCTCTTTTGCTGCTGCCCGCTCAATCCGAGCTAGAGACCCAGGTGCTAAGGTCAGTTTGGCATCTGCATCTGACATCAGTGTTGCTCAGAATTCAGTTCATTATCATAGTTGTGTTATAATGTTTCCTCATGTGCTGTATCTGGTTATTTTAAATGTTTAATTCCAGGTACTTATTGTGACTGATGAGCCAGACCTTCCGTACATGAGACCGCCTCTTTCTAAAGAACTTTGGTTCTCTGATGACCCCAGTGTGACAGAAACACTGCGATTCAAACAGTGGAATGGAAAGGAAAGAAGGTTTGTTTTTATGTTCAAGTTTCTTGTGTTGTGCTTTTGTTGCGTTCGCCTGCATTTCTTTGAATTGAGTTTGTAGTCTCTATTTACAGATTCTGTATGTACTGTAAATGGAGAGTGTAGTCTGTAGTCACAATGTTTGGTGTCGGACGTGTTCCTGTTTCCTTTTGTTGTCCGAGTAGTATCATCCTGTAGTCCTTCAGTGGGACTTGGCTGTACAGAGGAAAACAGTCAAAAGGAGTGTTAACATATTACCCCAGCAGAATAAAACCCAGCCATTAACCATTAGCCATTAGAAAAATTGGCCTTCATGAATCCACATCTGCATGTAAGTGCAGCTAATAATCCAGTTTTAGATGTAATCTCTCAACTCCATTCAAACTTCTCAAATTGCAATTAGAACCGTAAGCAATGGCAGTGCACTGTAAAGGCAGTCTTATCAGAAAGTACTTTATCGCTATCATCTGGCAACACTGGAAGTCTCAAAGTTTGCTTTGGCTCTGTACCTGCCTGATGGCTCTATAAACATCTGTATATCTCTGTTTGATCAGTGGCTGTTGCTTTTGCATCAGTCAGACTGTGTTGTCCTATGGCATCACTTTGCTTTTATCACAAAATGTTATTTTATAAAGTTAAACCTCTTCTTTTTTAGATTGACCCCACTCGTCCTGTTCACTATCAGTACTCACTGAACTCTGATCTTTTTTTGGAATCTATAAAAACTTAATGGAGCTAGGTGGAGCTCATACCATGTTCCTTACAGCAAATGATTTCCTGGAGCTAATATGTGTGAACGTTGTGAAATGATCTAAAACCTTTTTTTCATTCTGCCCCTTTGATTTTCAGTATCTACTTCCAGCCGGCATCATTTTATATAAATCCAGAAGAATTGGAAGGTACAGAAAATGGTGGAGTGGCTGTTCTCACTGGCAGAAAGGTTTGTGTTGATTTAACAAGCACTTCTTCTTGATTACATACAGTACATGAATTTGGTGGCAGATTTGAATAAACATTTATGCAGTGTTGATGATTTCTGGACCTCAAAGAAATGACTGAATCTATTTTAGGTGGTCCACATGGACGTGAGAGGAAACAAGGTGAAACTTGACGACGATACTGAGATTTCATATGACAAGTGTTTGATCGCTACAGGTGAGGCAGCTTTAGGATGCATTTATCACAGAATAATCCTTAAACCTGGCCGGAGCTAATCTGAGTTTTTCACTTCAGGTGGTGTGCCAAGAAACCTGCAGGTCATGGAGAGAGCAGGAGAGGAGGTGATGAAGAGGACCACTTTGTTCCGGAAGGTCAGTGCTTGGCCACAAGGGGGTGATAGCTCTATTTTAGTCTGGGAACACTCACTTGCTGTTAGAACCAGGCTTTAGAAGAGAGTTGTGTTTTTCTGATGGGATTAGTAAAGAAACATGGTGGAAATATTTAGAATTTTTTTTAATGACTATGGAAAATGTTCAATGAAATGGTTGACTGGTCAGAAATAGTTCCAAAATGTTGATTTAATCACTTCTAAATAGGCGCATGAGTTAAAACAAATAGGAACATTTGGTTTTGTCCAGCTATATGATCATCTATTTGATCTAAGTTTTAAATTTCAAATGATTTAAGTGATAAATAGCAGGAAGCAGATGCTTAAAATCAGTAACTCAAGGTGTTGAAGATGAATAATAACTGCTGTCCACAGACAGGTTAACACACACTAATATAAAGTAAATTTAATACATTCTGGTTGACTTTGTGACACATCAGAACCATTCATGCAGGATATAATGTGATATAAACGCTGTTTCTCTTGACAGGTTGATGACTTTAAATCTTTGGACAAGGTGTCCAGAAACATAAAGTCCATCACAATCATTGGAGGCGGCTTCTTGGGCAGCGAGCTGGCCTGTGCCCTCGGCAGGAGATGTAAGACTGCTAGACAAAATGAGAAAGAATTAAGAGTATATTAAATAAAAATACAGGTTCTTTTAAAGGATGAATCTGTTGCTGGGTTGCTCATTTTCTTTTCTCTTATTGTCAGCAAATGATTCTGGCCTGGAGGTGATTCAGATGTACCCTGAGAAGGGAAACATGGGGAAAGTGTTGCCTGAGTATCTGAGCAACTGGACAACAGAAAAAGTCAAAAGAGGTTCACATCCTTTTTGTAGTCATGTCTAAACTAGTTACAAACCCTAAGAAATATGTATGTTCTTCTCTCCTGGTTTCTTTGTAAACCTAAAAAAAATATATATCTCTTGGTTTTCTAGAGGGTGTGAAAATAATCTCAGAAGCTCTGGTGAAATCGGTGACCTTCAAAGATGACAAGGTGGAAATCCTGCTGAAAGATGGCCGACTGGTAGGTTACAGGCTTTTCCACGAATTCAGTGTAAATGAAGAAATGATTTATCAGTTACTGATTATGTTGCGTTTTCCATTCGCAGGTCAAAACGGACCACATAGTGGCGGCTGTTGGCCTGGAGCCCAATGTTGACCTTGCAAAGTCAGCAGGTCTAGAGGTGGACTCTGACTTTGGTGGCTTTCGGGTCAATGCAGAGCTGCAAGCTAGATCCAATATTTGGGTGGTAAGTTAATGTTTAAATGGTATTTAATAGTGGTGCTATGACAATCTATTAGATCCTGCTGAAGTGTGTAGTGAAGATGGAACAACACATGAATCTGCTGAAACTCATTTTGTTAAAGGGCGATCCTTCAGGTACTGTAACAAGAAAGAACCACAGATATTTGTCAAAGTGATAACTAGTTATGTTGGGGTTTGAGTTGAATTTTTCTGCTTATGTTTAAGTATTTAATTGCAGCCTTTGAAAGCCTAACTATCTGGGACCATTTTTTTTATTTAAGCATGTTAACTGTTTTCATCACATCTTTACATTAGAGTCAGTAAAAAGCACTTTAATGTTGACTTTATAGAAATAAATACAATTTCAAAAAGCCATCGTTCTGCAGGTGTATATGGTATACTTAGTAGGTCATGGTTAGTCTCCTATATGGTTCATAAATGTATGCCTCCACCTTTAGGTCCTATTCTTGTATTATAGTGCCCTCTTCAGGCAAACTCAAGTCATGATCCAGAAACAATGTATCTTGAAATTTGTAATGCGCTTGTTTTATGGTTGTAAATAGTTGTTAATCTAATGCATGCCGTGCAGCTTTAACCCTTCCTCTCTGGTGCAGGCAGGAGACGCTGCGTGTTTCTATGACATCAGACTGGGCCGCAGACGAGTGGAGCACCATGATCACGCCGTTGTAAGCGGGAGACTCGCAGGGGAGAACATGACGGGGGCCAACAAACCCTACTGGCATCAGTCTATGTTCTGGTGAGTGTCTCGGCAATAACTGTTCCCCCGCTGGTGGTGCTGAATCAAAGTTTAAATGATTCATGAATTCAAAGCGTTTTGCAAAATCAAAGCTGTGACTGCAAGCAATGAAATCAACTTGAAGTGGAAATGACAGAGAACACGAGCGTGAAAGATCCTGCCTGAAATGTTGATAGAACAGGTCTTGGTTCATACATACTACATACATACATCTAAATTAGTGGGAACTGGGGAAGGAAGTCCCACTGTGCACATGACTCAGATTTAATCCTTTTTAGAAGCCACGTGAACTTGCATGATTGCTTTGATTTCTTGAATACCATTAAGTTGTAAAATATTTAAAAAGCCCTTAGAGGACATTAGGTTGGTGTTCCCAGCAGAGGGCTGCAGTATTCGCTCTTACATTTCTCCAGCCCGTAATAAATGTACTGACTTTATACAAATCATCACTAATATTAAAACAGAGGGGCTGTTGTACATTTTCAAGGGGCTGGCAAAAATTAGGCCACAGTGTGGAGTGTGGCCCATTTTACGAAGATGCATGTGGTTACTGGCTGCTTTCGGCAGCTGAGGTAATATGACACTCTGCTGACAACATGTGTTCACTGGGGTCCCAAAAAAAGCCACTCAGTCAAACTATTATGACTTGTGCACCCTCGGATGTTGTCGGAAGATATGCCAGTATAATGTGGCTGAAGAATGTGTCTGTTGTGCCTCTCGGGTGCAACATATCAACCTCTTATCATTCAGCAGCAGCAGTCGGTTAAATCTCACATGAAGGTCGTCAAATCCATGATTTTGTTTTACATGAGTAGCCCTAGCTCTAAAATACTTTTCTCCTTATTAACAGGGCTGCTTTCCTTTTGAATGGAAGTCTACAGTGAGAGCAATTACTATAACATATATGTCATTTAAAAAGTGAGGAAGATAACAACAGTGGCAAATGACGCCATTGGATCACCTTTAGAATGTTTTAAGGAGCAAGAGAAAAAAACATCAAATAAAAAATCAGCATATAGCTAGCATTTAGAGAACATTTTTAAGATGGTGTACTCATTTATTTTATTATTTACTTAGGACTCCCATTGTGTGTTAGTGAAGTGGGGTCTTTTCTTAAATCACTTGCGCTCCTTTTACACATGCGATGCACTTATATATATATATATATATATATATATGTACATGTACATGTACATGTATATATATGTATATATGTACATGTACATGTATATATATGTACATGTACATGTATATATATGTATATATGTATATGTATATTTCCAAAAGTTTTCAGCGTGAGGTGCCTGTGTAAACTACTGCAGCTGAATTGTCACTTTGACATTATCCAGTTTTTTTCCTGCCTGTCCATTAGTAGAATTTATGCTTTAAGTTGAGGTGTGAACCCAGCAGGAAATATTTCAAAGAATTCACTGCGATCGAGGTGGTGGGTGATGATGTTTATATCACGCTGCCTGTGTAATATCAGAAGGATCCACAGTAGCATTGATATTAAGGTAATAACTGTCATCATCCTCATCAACCTCGGAACCTGTTGTTTCATCCACCATCCTGGTATACAACAACTCTTACACCAGTGTGATAGAGACCTCTACTAATACTAGTTTCCTCAACTGATTCCGAGATTTCTTCCAGAATTGATCTTGGAAATTCCTGTCAGAAAACAGACTCTATGTCTGTGTCCACAGGCAAACAGTGAGAGCACCGACTCTACCAGTCCGCCCGAGCTCGAGCCGGCCCGGCTCCTCGTCCTCACCGTCTTTCGTCACTCAAAGTGTACTCTGAGCCCTACTTTTGTTCATTGTTGTGTGTTAATGTGGGAGTGGTGTGTTCTACACAAACACAATGTTTAAGACCAGCTTTTACACTTAAGTTAAAAATCTAGAAGTTGTTTTACTTTACATTGGAGGATACAATAGTGAATAAGTATTTGATATACAAATAGCGATTTTCAGATCATGGACACTGGTTTATTTCCAATCATCTCCTGTTGTTTCTTCCAGGAGTGACCTGGGACCGGATGTGGGATACGAGGCGATTGGGATTGTTGACAGCAGCCTGCCAACAGTGGGAGTGTTTGCCAAAGCCACATCCAAAGACACACCTAGAGCTGCCACAGAGAAGTCAGGTAGGAGCAGGCAATCTTTTAGAATAAATCTTTATTCTAAAAGTAAATGATGAATTTTTGAGCAAACTCTACTTGTAAAATGGATCACAGGGACAGGGATCCGCTCGGAAAGTGAAACTGAGGACACAGCCACCAGCCCGGTCGCTTCTTCAACACCTGCTCCATCTGTGGAGCAAAACAGAGACGACTATGGGAAAGGAGTCATCTTCTACCTGAGAGACAAAGTGGTGGTGGGCATTATCCTGTGGAACGTGTTTAACAGGATGCCTATTGCAAGAAAGGTGCACAGGGAGACTTTTAATTTTTTACTAAAACAATCTGAGTCCAAGCAAAGATTTATGTTTTATTTATGTGGTTGTTAATTGTTTGTCTGTTGTTCTTTAGATAATCAAAGATGGAGAGGAACATGCAGATCTGAATGAAGTAGCCAAGCTTTTCAACATCCACGAGGATTAAGATGGTGACGGCTGATACTCGTTACGCTTCATGTTAAGACTGAACTCTGACAGCTGTTGCCATGCGCTTACAGACAAACCTAATCACACGAACAAAAAACGGAGAATTCATGTAAATTATGTTTTGTCGCTGGAATATTTTCGTATTTGAAATTTGTATCTGCTGCACCTGTTGTGTTTGTTTGTCTTTTTCACACATTTCATCCTCTCTCTTCTGTCAACCAACTTTCTGCCTTTTTTTTTGGTTTTGTTTTTTCAAATCATGGTCAAGATGTCTGCCTGCTTCTCTCCACCAGGCTAAAACATGTCCGAGCATGGATTATTGTTGTTTCCCTCTGTGTGATCAGAGCAGCTTGTCATGAGAGAAGCTGCAATAAAAGCTATTTTTAAATTGGACTGATCCCGTTATTTTTTTCTCCTCGATAATAGCGCAGATCAGATCAATTGACTTGCATTGTGAGATGTGATGGTTGTTAATGTGTGTGTGGGTGAACTCGTGTCCTTGGGCATTTAAATCAATATGTAATGCTTGGCAAATTAACCCGGGTCACACATGTGAAGCATTCAGATTAAGACCTTTAATTCAGGAGAGCTGATGCTAAAGGTGTTACCTCAGCTAAATGCACCCGTTTTTAGTTTAAACAGGAACAGGCAGGGTTGGATAGAGAAAAAAAAAAAGAGGCTCTGACACATAAATTTTACAGTGTGTCAAAGTAGGATCTAATTAAGTAGAGTCAATGTACGCTTCAACAAAAACATTAAAATGACGCCTGGCCTACTTATCTTGTCCGGAGGTGAAAATGTTCCATCATGCAGAAACATTGTGTGTTTTCTACTCTGGGCTTCTTGTTATTAGGACTGCACTCATGTTCTGTGTTCTCACACATTTCTTATCCCTTTTGACAGTCTGCGCTCCCGAGCAAAGTGTGGAGCGGCCTTTCAAGTGTGAGGCAAACACGTGCAGCCATAACGTCCCGTCGCTTTCTTTGACATTAATTTTACATGAGTAAATGGCTGAACTGCCTCCCCCTCCTCTGTATGGAGGAATAAACATGAGCTTCCACATTTATATTTGATTTTGTCAGGCGATTTGAAGATGGAATAATTAGACCAGAAACTCTGGAAGGCTCTGCAGTGGATAAATATCCTCTGGATGTGTGCTGATGCTCCTAGAGACATCTTACACTTGAATTCATTTGAACTGGATGCTTTCTTTTTGCTGTGATTGCATATGTTCTTATCACTGTAAACAGTTAAGTTCTCATTGAAATGATAATATCAATTATGAACAGATTTACACTAGACGAAGGGATGATGATACTGGCTCATGTCAACAGTTTTCCTCCAGCCTTGTGAAGGTTCTCCTTCTAGGGGAACAAATTAAAATTCCAAGAAGAAAGCTGATAAAATTCTGTAATATTTTGTATTTAATGTCTTTTGACTGGAATTGGTTTAGAAATCACCGTCCACAATCTGTCACTGCTCACAAATGTTTGGAATCTTTAATAACTTAGCATTCAATGAATTGTGGTTGTTTTAATTCTTCATGACTGCCTGACAGTAAATTAAACATGTTCTAATTCTTAAATCTATCTGCTAATCTACTGCTGTCAGAGGCAGCACTGTCATCCTCTCTACTTTGAAAATGTTCCTGTCTCTTTAAATATTCTTGCAGTAAATCCTTGAACATGCATATGGCCATAAAAAAGAGATAAAGCTTGAAGTCATCTACACAAACATGGGCAGAATAAAAACTTGCCCGGGTTTTTGAATTATACAGCAGCAGCTTCCTGGATTTTACACCTGCAGAGAGGGAGGGACGCTCAGCTGAGTCCAGAAGGCAGCGCCAAGCTGGAAGAGACACAACAAGTATCCTGCATCCCTGCTTCTCCGCTTCTTTTTTTTCTTTTTCAGTTTTTTCCCCTCCATTGGATTTATATCCACTGTTTGGACTGACAGAGAATGCTGCTGCACATGTTTTATGTGCTGTTGGCTTCGTCTGTCACTTTTCTGCCAGGCAGGTAAGAGAACATTTTACATTTTAGGATATGGACATCTCTGGTTAGACATTATGAAGTTAATGCATGTTTGTTTGACAGTAATTTCACTGTATTTTAAATAATTTCACACCTAAAGTGAACAAATGTTGAATGTTAGACATTATATGCTTAAACTAGCCTCCTCTTTTGGGGGTTTTGTGACGAGGAAGGGTTGTGAAACAAACATTCTCCAGAATCATGAATGTAACACTTTGGAATCTGTATTTAAAAAAAAACTATTATAATCACTGGAAAAAGTGAATGTATGAAAAATGCATTATTAAACTCAAAGGGCAAGAAAATGTTAAAAACACTTTGAACACATGCATTGCTGTTCGGAAACAGTCTGTGAAATCTTAACTGTAAAAAAAGAAAAGAAAAAAAAACACTCTTCTGGCTAAATGTATGAATCTGGACAGATTTGAATGAAGATACAGATGTTATAAATTAGACATATACAGAAAAAACATGTCCATCAGCATTATTTTAAGTAAACATCCAGTTTTATTTTTGCTGTCATCTGGCAGCTCTGTGCTCTGTAAGGAGATGAAGCTCCCCAGCAGAGCAGCCAAGCCTCCCTCTCCATCTGACTTTCTGGACAAACTGATGGGACGCACATCTGGCTACGATGCTCGCATCAGACCAAACTTCAAAGGTAAATACACACACCGTGGCGTGCAGTGGGAGGACTACCTCTGTCAGGGCAGGTGTGAGAAAGTATGCATCTGTTTTTAGCACAACAACCTGGATAGTGAAGCAGCACAAATCACTCACAGATGCGTCAGAAGTCAAAGATGCTGCAGGCTCTGATGTTTTGATTTTTTGTCATGTACTGTTACTGTTTTGAATCTGACCCACAGCCCTAGGTTGAGATATTTTTTTACACAAGCTTTGTTTGTATCCCAGAATGTGAGTGATGTTAACCCCACAGGCTTATTTCAGTCTAATCTTGGTTCTCTGGTTGTGAGTGAAGCCAGGAGGATTCTCTCTGACACACTTCCCCCCTCGTTCTCTGGGGTCGCATTTCATATATATTTCATACTTGCTCTACATCCTCGCCAGTGCATGCTGTGGGTAAATCCCATCTGATAATCTAGAAATAAACTAATGTTTCTGAAAGAGAATCAATAAATGATTGCCTCTCAGGAAATGAGTCACTGAAATATTTAGTTCAGAGGTTGACAGATGGACTACACAAATGGGAGCGTACTGGAAATGACAACACAATTTTATGCTGCTTATATAGGACAAGTCATCTATCAGGGCATAGCATGGCACACTGTGGATATGTTACTTTATGGGAAATCTTTTAATTCTTCATGCAGTCTCTTCAAAAAAAACATCATCTGTGGGATTTAAGAAAGCTGTAGATTTAAATCTGATGTGTGGTTTGCTTCTGTCAGGTCCTCCTGTTAACGTCACCTGTAACATCTTCATCAACAGCTTCGGCTCCATCACTGAAACAACCATGGTGAGACTTTTATTTATAATCCTCAGCAGTTATACTTGATTAAAACAAACAACTTTCAAGATGTTTTAGACTATACTACAGTCTGAGAACACCTCTTTTCATTATGTACACATTGGGTATACAAGTTAGACAAACAGTGTTAACCACAGACTGTATATAACAATATATAGTCTATAAAAGACTACATTTTGACCTTATAGGAACATTTAAGCACCAACAAGTGGTCATTCTTTTCTTTACAATTATCTTAAAGGCATCAAATGAAGCAGTTGAATCCAGTTTGACACTTCATTTCAGAGATGATTACACATTACTGCATCTGTACTGACATATGCATCACTGCCACTTCAACAATCAGGTTTTAGATCAATTAGACCTGTAGACATTTAACACAGCTGCTGCTTGCCCCTCTAAAGATTCCGACTTACTGTACAGGGTGATAATCAAAAGCAAATGTGCTGATTGTCTCTGTATCTCAAAGTGTTACTTATTGCTATTCATATGTAGGAGTCTGCACTGGTCACTTTCATGGTCATATTTTTGTTTAATTTAGTCTTTTCACTAGTGCATGGTCTGCGCATTACAGGATGTAGCGACTTAAAATGATCCCTCCTACTCCATCACTGCACCCTATATATACCCTATAAGTATTGTCACAGTACTAAATATCATGTTTCCGAAGTGATAGAAGAAGTTTTGTCCTCATACACTTTACTTTTACCCCTGTGTAAAAACATTGTTACAAGCTCAAATGTGTAATACATAAGGAAAAGCACATATTTGATTTAGAATCAAAATAACACACTAAATGTAAGAAGAATTTTATACAGAATGTCTCATTTTGGAAAACTATTAAGTAACTTTACCTTCATACTGATAAATTAATTAACTTTAGTTTCTAAATGTATCCTGCCATTGAGCTAATATGTATGATATATAACCATATCATTTATTTGAGATGTTTGGGAAGAATAATCCAAAACAACTCTTAGTGGAGTAGTAAATGGTAAATGGATTTGATCTTATAGCTTGTCACACCTACCAATTCACAGCCATTCACACACTGATGGCAGAGGTTACAATGTAGTGAGACCATCAGAAGTAACTAATCCCATTCATACACGTCCACAGCAATTCGAGGTTAAGTGTCTGGCTCAAGGACACATTTGGACATGTTGCTGCAAGAGCTGGGAATCAAACCCTCGACCTCCCGGTTGAGAGACGACCGCCCCTGTAGTAGCAGTACAAAAACATAGTGCACGATTTGAAGTAAATTCACTTAGTTAGACTTGAGAAAGAACCTTTAATGATCTGTTTCACCATTCAGCAATGAAAGCATGAACTGATAATGTAGGTGAGCTTATGTTCTTATGTTCTTTAGGTTGATATTATGTGCTGTTATATAAAAACTCTGCAACCTAAATCATGTCTCTGCTGTATGGATATACAGTAAGCTACACAGTTATAATTACTTATTGAAAACAAAGAGTTCAGAGTTATAAGCTTTACACCAGAACTAAATGTTTCGATGTAGCTGTTCTATAAAAGACCTAAGCTGGTTTTTCTGCCTGTCAGAGCAGGATCATCAGTCTCTGTTATTTTGTAAACAGATCTGGTTCATGCTATTTCAACAGATGCTTCTGACTCTTTGGTTTTATCCATTTGTGGGGTTTTCTGGCTGTCCTCACGCTGTTTGCCACGAGTTCCATGATGCCTTAACATACTGTCATTAGTTTATGACTAATTAATGACTGTAAACACCGTCTTGTAAGTTCATTGCATCATGTCAGCTCTGATTTTGTCCTCTCTCCGTCAGATACCATTTATCCTTTATTCATGAGGCCTGTGCAGTGTTAGGGGACATGAAGTTATGCAAGAGTTTGAAGGAGTCTTACATTTTATAAAATACCTTTCGGTATAGCCATCAAATTTTAATTAATGATATTATAAGTGGAGTTTTCTGTTGTTCCGGTTATGAGCATTCAGGTCTGTTAGGCAGCGTTGACAGGCACTCTGCTTCTTACCTGCTGAGAGAAGCTGCAGGTTTTACTTGTAACTCGTCCCCGTTATTGCCTCTCACAAAGTTTATTAAAGTGACATGATCATATCAATAGACACATGCAGATTAGTCCAATTTTGTTTATATCTTCTTGAAAAAAAACTGAATGTTTTATCTTCTATGGCATGACCAGTGGGAGTTCTGACTTTAATGCAACTTTTATTTTCAGTCATTTATGAGTATCTTTTCTTCTTCTTGTGACTTTATTTCCTACCTTAGGACTACCGGCTCAATGTGTTTCTGCGACAGCAGTGGAACGACCCTCGTCTGGCATATAAGGAATACCCTGATGACTCTTTGGACCTGGACCCCTCCATGTTGGACTCCATTTGGAAACCAGACCTGTTCTTTGCAAATGAGAAGGGAGCCAACTTTCACGAGGTCACGACGGATAACAAACTGCTCCGCATATTTCAGAACGGAAACGTCCTCTACAGCATCAGGTGACCTGATGATCATATCCTGAATCATTCACCAGGATCTGACACACAATACAAACTCATTTCTGTGTTTTCTGCCAAGCTGCATACTGAATATGAACCCCTACCTATGAGTATGTGGTTCAACATGTTTGTTTCACTTCAGTTTGGTTCAGTTATCATTTTGTTGTCCAGCACCCACCTCAAAAAACTTTGTGTAAAACAATGACTGCAAGCTAAAAGAGAATCAGGTCAGTAATGGGCAGGCAGTGGATGAACTGTAGCGTGATGGTAAGGAGTCACCACTGGAATATAAAAACGCAGCCATGTTTAAAGCTGTTTTAGCTACTCTGCTACCCACAAAGCAATACTTACAAGTTAAGCCTAACTTTAGGGGATAAACCCCAAATGACCCACGATCTAGATTACCACTTAACAACTTAACTATTTACCCAAAACAACAGACTGCAAAAACATTAATGTCCTTATTTAGTTAATGACTAATCTCTTTATCCCCTGATGACACTGAACCACGGCCAATCAGCTTTCTTCTCGCTGCAATGTTGCTCATTTATGTGCAATGTTTCAACTTGTCCTTGCTGGACTAAAGAGAAGACGGCTGCTTAAAGTCCGCAGCGAAATACTTCATGACTAAAACAGAAAAAGCAGTGGTGGAAAGAGAAACACATTAGTGAAGTCTATGACAGCACCTCTGTCCTTTTTGCTCCTTATCTAGAATACAATAGAGAATAAAACATCTTTGTGGTTTCACCAAGGACACTGAAATAGAGATAGTGCAACTCACCATGAATGCGTCAATAAAAACAAGGAAATAAATAGCAGCAACAGGACACATTAATGTCAGTAAGAAACAATGGCGGAGTGGAGGTAGTAGGGTCTAAGTGCAAATGTGCAAGAGTGAAATAATAAAAGGAAAATATTCAATAATTCAATGCAGTGTTGGCAGTAACTCCTGCATCTTATGAGGGGTAGGGGTCATTTCCCCCTTTTTACCTAGTGTTTTGCTGCAGCAAATTGTACAACAGGATCTCCCTAGGGATGAAATTGTGTTATTTGTTTGGAGCACATATACATACTAGAAGAAAGGGATTAAAAGTTAAAGATGCTAGATGTTGTCTTTGATTTGTGCAAAACGGGTTCTGAGTCTTTTTTTGTTTTATTCCTGAGTTAGAGTATGAAGGTCTACCCTGTATGCATTTTTTAGGTGCCATTACAATGTTTGGTCTCTTTTTGTCCAGGTTGACACTCACCCTCTCCTGTCCCATGGATCTGAAAAACTTCCCCATGGACAGCCAGACGTGTACGATGCAGCTTGAGAGCTGTGAGTTCATCTTTCTAAAGCAGGATGGAAATAATTACCTATTGGATTTTGTTTTAATCTTATACTGCGTTCCTTTTTTTTTTTTTGTATCTCTCTGCTAGTTGGCTACACCATGAATGATCTTATTTTCGAGTGGCTGAATGTGGGAGCGGTGCAGGTAGCCGATGATCTCACACTCCCTCAGTTTGTGCTGAAAGAGGAGCAAGGCCTCGGATACTGCACCAAACACTACAACACAGGTACATGACATACAACCACATTCAGTCACATCCTGCATATAAGCTGACAATCAACTTCTAATAAGACTGTCAGTGTGGACCTGTATCTCCTCCTGTGTTAGGTAAATTCACCTGCATCGAAGTCAACTTCTACCTGGAGCGTCAGATGGGCTACTACTTGATCCAGATGTACATACCCAGCCTGCTCACCGTCATCCTGTCCTGGGTCTCCTTCTGGATCAACATGGATGCGGCTCCAGCTAGGGTGGGACTAGGAATCACCACGGTGCTCACCATGACGACGCAGAGCTCTGGCTCCAGGGCCTCACTGCCAAAGGTGTGACATGGCCTAATTTAGAAATATTAAATATACATTTTATTGCAGACATTAAATTGCTTTTTCAATCGGGCAAAAAGGACATGAAATGGTTACTGAATAGAAGCATTAATTGTTTTTTGCCGCCTTTCCGGAAGGGTGGTTTGAGCTTTCTCGCTAAATGCTGGATTGTTGACCGTGAGAAGGCAGACTCAGGGGGCAGAACAAACACCTAGCTGTGGGAGCGTCACCCACTTGGGGCAGGGGTTATTGCCCTTTGTGATGTCATAAAGGGAAAATCTCCGGACTGTTTGAGCACACATTTTCTGAAAAGTGGAGCAGGCAAAAGACAGAGAGGATGGACTTTTCTATTTCCTGTAGACAACACAATAGTGTTAGAAAAACAGGGTAAAGTGTATCTAGCATATATGTGACCTTTAAGACATTTTCACCATTAAGTCTGGCTTGGGGGCAGTGTGGGCAGTGCGACCTCTTTTGGATCACTGCTGCGTCATAATGTTTCCCAGTTAGGTCTTTCATTGCTCTACACATTGAAATTGACAAGAAAGTATAAAGCTAAGAAATTAGATGGGAAAGAAGTACACACACGTCTCTGTACTAGAATTAAGGCAGTAAAAACCCTGAAAAAAATATTCATCCATGTAAATGTTTATACTTTTATTGAAATAAAAAGTACAGTTCAATTCAAAGAAATATACCTTCAGTCTCAAAGTGAAAGTGCTGAATTTGCATAATGACCCTTTCTAGAGTGTTCAATTATTGAATAAATATTAGATCTAAAGTACTTCATATACTGTGAGGTCATCGAGAGGTAGAGCAAATGTTTCAGTTGAACTTTAGATATGTGATGGAAAGTGAATACATTTACTTTATAACTGCATGTTTTCAATTTTCTACTCTTATTTTGTGCTTCTTTACAATTCAACCCGTAGGCTACTTTTCACTCCATTACATTTATTTAGATATATTAAAGTTTATGGTAAAAGCAGGTATGGTTTGGGTTATACATGAATTATATGAAATTGCATCAACAAGAATAATCCCATGAAAGTATCAGTTTTTGTTGTAAAGTTTTTTTTTCATTTTTCTTAAGTTACATATTTAATCTTTAAGTTTCTATGATCTATTTTCAAAGTATCATTTTGGTTGGGAACGTCAGATGCACAAAGTAAATCTGAATTGTGGTTCAAACTCTTTCATCAATTCTGTTAACTTTAACTGAATGACTTCACTGATTCCGCTCTCTCAGGTGTCCTATGTGAAAGCCATCGACATCTGGATGGCCGTGTGTCTCCTGTTCGTGTTTGCTGCCCTGCTGGAGTATGCAGCCGTTAATTTTGTTTCCCGCCAGCACAAGGAGTTCTTTCGACTGAGGAGGAAGCTGAAGGAGCAACAGCGGCAGAGAACTGTGAGTGCAACAACCCTCCCACACTCAGCCCCCTCGGGCGGCTGTCACCTGCTATTCCCTGTGCCCCGGCTCTGCACGAGCTGCAGGACTCAGCTGCATGTTGCTCTCCAGCCGGGAAACACAGACAGTGGTGACCTGTAATTAATTTAAACCTTCACCTTATCCCACTGCAGGCTGGATGTTCTCAGCATATTTCCGCCTCGCTTTGGGCCTCTTGAGGAGAAGAGGAGTAGAAGAGATAGAAAGAAAACCACCTTGAAATACATCTTAAATGAAGCAGTGTGACAACAGCTGCAGGATTCATTCATTCTTTATAAAACATTTAACATTTATAAATACACAACACAGAAAACAGCTGCCTTTGTACTTAATTTGCTGGGATTATGCAATGCCATTGAAATTCCCTCTGACTTATCTCACATTAATGTCGTACTTGTATTCACTTTGTCAGGAACAGATGATAACTGTTTATGTACAGGATTTGAAGCACACCCGGGTTGTGTGGTGGCAGCAAACTGTTTAATGAATGCAGTCTGTTTGATGATTACATTCAAAGTGCTGCCTTTTCTCCCCGTCAGCAGGCGAGTGGTGACAGCAAGGCGAAAGGAAACAACATGTCAGGCAGCATTGCTCCTCATGGGAACCAGCGGTGCAGCGTCTGTGCCAGGGTATGTGGTGCCTTGTTCAGTTAAGCACCAGCCAATCATCAGACATAAAAACAGACATCAGATAAACTCCTGGAGCTGATGCATATTCTGTGATGTTTCTCTTTTCTTCCAGGAGGAAGAGCTGGCACAGCAGGGTTTACTCTTTCAGAGTTTTGGACTTGCAAGTGCACCGGAAATGGATGCAACTCCAATTTTTGCAGATCTCCCTCCAGGTTTAGGTTTCTATGACATACGCAGGCGCTTTGTCGATCGAGCAAAAAGGATTGATACCATCTCTAGAGCCGTTTTCCCTATGAGCTTCCTCATGTTCAATGTCCTCTACTGGCTCACCTACAAAGTTCTACGACATGAGGACCTTCATGCCACAATGTGACAACGCGAAGGCGGAGCATAAAGACACTGGAAACCTTTAATTCTACTCTCTTTACTGAAACATTTACAGGCCGAGGGTCCTCAGTCGAGACATAACAGAGAAGTTGTGGCTGCATGTCCAGTGGCATCCATCAGTTTCATTCAATTTTCATACTTCCAAAGACATGCACTTCTTTTCTGCACTGATGACATGATGACACTGATGACATCACACCTCTGTCTATGTGTGTACAATAGGCATCTTTAATATCTCAAATCACATGTTTTCTGTAAACATTTCTGTTTGTGCAGTTACTGTAGCTTCACATGCATTTGGACTGCAGCACATTCTTACCAGGCCTGAGTTTTTGGTTGTGCATTATCTTAATGTGAGCCCTGTTCAACAGTGCCATGAGCATTTAACACTAGAAGAAGAAGATGCAGTTTAAACTGTAAAAACTCTGCTTTGTTTAATAGCACAGATACAGTGTGCTTCATTGATCTGGGAGATACATGACATTAAAAGATTAAGTTTCTTTACAGGCTTAAAATTAATTATTTAATTATTTTCTTAGTGACATGAATATTGAACATATGCATCAGTTAAATAATATTTTGAGCCCTCTGTAAGCAGCCCTTTCAGTCAAAATTAAATAAGTAGAAACTGTCCAGAAAGTCACTTTGTATTGATATTAAGGCATGAAACGCACTATTTCTTGCATCCACCTGGCCAGTCATTGGTTCAAGCCTGCTGTTTCAGTTCTGCCAAGAGATTTCTATTCACCTTCTACATCCCTTTCCAGAAGAATAACATGTGTTTATGTCAAATAAAGTATTATTCGGGTTTAACTTGTTAAAAAGCTCTAAGTAGTGGTCTATTATGCCAATCAGTTTACATCCACATTCAAATTAATCTAATGTATTAAAAAGCATATATCATCAAAAACGTTCCATGCAGTTTGCCTGACTCCTGAATGGCTGTTGTATGACCCCAGGTTACACACTCAGACTAAATAGTTTGTTTATTTTTTATTTTTTTGCTGGAAAGAAATGTATCTATGAAATATTTTGTTGGTGAAAATAAAGTAGTGTTCGTTTGATTGACTGAAAGTTGGTGCATCATTTCTTATGTATACAGCAATTTAAACATTTTCATTTTAACATTGTGAGGTAATATGATACATTTTTCAAGTGCTACGCAAGTGTTACATCATGACATTTTTAGACCATGTTCAATCAGCTTATATGAACAATTATTTATAAGATACACTTCAACTTTCAAACTATGACATCCTCCAAGTTAAGAAGCATCTCACTAGCATTGAACTAGTTTTTTACTCAATTTCTCTGACTTGGCTTAACATTATTCTCAACCCCTGCTCTGTTTTCATATGGGAAATGAGAAAAATGCCACTGCAATAACTGTCTGTTGTCTGTTGGACCGTGCCCGTAATGTGCTTACTCTCTTTCAGGTGGGGTTTTATTTTATACTTCTGGAGTATCTTTTCTGTTTACCCATACCACGTGACTATGTGTATCTAGTCTCATTTTAAAAATAAACCTTCTCAGAAAATTAAGATGTAATATGATGTAATAAATATATATATATATATATATATATATATATACACTATATATATATATATATATATATATATATAATCATTATTATTATTATTATTATTATAATTATATATATACATCAGGAGGAGCAGAGCTGCATATAGCAGCACAAAGAGACTGTGTACACAGATGGGCTCTTTCCTAAAATGGTAGTTAAGATACAGTGAGATGCTTGATATTGATATTAGAACATACTGTATAGAGTAAATCATATTTGTTAACATAACTGTTCCATACTGTGAGATTTATATAGTTACTAAAGGCAGAAAAAATAGAGATGTCCGCACACTGTTCAGCTCCCAATGGCAATTTGGCAGCCTAACTGCCATTGAGAGCTGAACTTTGTGAACAGTGTGCGGACCTGAGGGAAGAACATTTTTGTTCTGCCCCTGTATGGATTTCTACTGGATGAGCCTACACTAGTTTTCTCTTTTTAAAGTTACTAAAGGGAAAATAACATTGTTAAACACAATATCAAATTTGGAAATTATTCTTTCTGTTACATTAAATGTGTTTTTTTTACTTTGAGCTAAAAGTATTAGAAGATTAAAAGATGTCTATTATGGTAAAATAAAATATTTTTATTTCTGAAAAATGAATGACTTGAGTTTGGCTGAAACTCTTGTAATGTACTGTGTGCATATTCTGAGAATATGTATCTCTAACCACAAGAGGGCGTTGTGTGCTACTGTATGTCACATTTGAGTAATATTGCACCATATCTTACATGCTTTCATTTTCAAAGTACAGTATGAGGGACTCTACTTTGGACTCAGTATAAGGTGGGGATGTCCTGATGTATTGTATTGACTTTTACATTTAGAATTACCTAATTAATCACAATAGGTATTTAAATGAATATAGTGAAGACAGGCAAACAAAGCACTCAACGATGTTTAAATGTAAAACCTCTAATAGGACAATTAATGCGATGTTTCTACATTTAAAGTGAATTATTTCAGCCTCTACACAAAAGTCATCCTAAACAGCTGTCATTCATTGTGAGTTAGCAGTTATATTCCCTTAAAATATTTCAGTATAGTTGTTTGACTTGTCAAAAGCATTTAGAGCATGGATCCACAAATTAATCAAGAAGGGGATTTTACTCACATAATATTGTCAAAATAATAGTGGAAAAAATGTAACAAGGATAATCATCTCAATTGTAAGGCAACATTTTATTTAAAGATAACTTAATGGTGTTTTGATCATAGACTGTAAATAGGTCTATTAAGATGTTCATCAGCTGACTGTTTCAAACAAACTCCAAGCTTAAATAATAAGCATGACTGAATAAATCTTATATTTATTATTTTGAAATTTTCTAATGACTGCATGTTTTCTTGGATGTGGGCAAAAATTAAACTGGTGCAAAGTGAATTTGATTTTTTTTTATATATATTGGAGGTTGCATGGTGGTATTTATGTTTTTGAGATGGATATCAAAGAAAGCCATGCATTTTTAGTATGCAAAAGGTGTTATTCCCGGTGGAATTTATGTACACAATACATGGCCTACATTAAGATTAAAGTCGGCTTTTAATATTAAACTAGTAATAAAGTAGTCCTGCATTAAGCTCTATCAGAAATACGACGTAGGCTATAATACATTCACAGGAACTTTTTTTTTTTTTTGATTGATTACATTTTTAATTGATTGATTGATTGATTGATTGATTGATTGATTGATTACATTTATTTCAGACCTATCAAATAAAATCAAACATATCAAAAATACAAAACAAAATGAAAAGCAATAAACAAAAAACAATGTTCAAATCATTTCACAAAAAAAGAAAAAGAAAAAGAAAAGTACATATATTCAATTGATATGCCTGAAAAGGGTAGGAAGAAGTATAAAACTTATTTAATCCTACCCCTTTTCCACAGCTCAATAATTAATATTTATTAAATTAAATCCCTGTGTTCCTTATAATCTCTCTATAAATACAACCTATCTATATACAATTTGCTATACTATATTTATGATACTACATTTGATATTTACAATCCAATGATTTTCCAAACATATATACAACTTGATATACTATGATTTTTAAAAATAATTTATATATTTATACAATCCATATATCTACATATACATATCTATTTGTACAATTTGATGTACTATATTTATATATTATACAATCCGTTTATCTATACAGTTTGGTATAGTATGTTTATGTTTTTCAGTCCACTTGTGTTAAAAAAAACTTTTGCGACAGGGGGAATAAATAAGCAACAAGTTTTAATTAGGGGAGTGGGGTATGTCTCCTATGGATGGACCCTCCACTAAAAGTGTCCTCTGGCTGGAGACGTGGCAGCGCCTCATATGATTTTAGTTCAAACACACGAACCCCACCCCCGAGAAGCATTTTCAAATGTCCACCCCCCTCCCCACCCTCCGTTATTTTTAAAATCTAGTGACACTTTTAAACACCCACCTTAAAATCTTGCGAAAAGTCCTGCGAAATATTTTTCTGCACAACTCAGCTAAAAACAGCAGACATACGGACTTCAGTGACAGTGGCCACCCCAAAACAGTGCCATTTTTAGACGTTCACTGCTGACGTTTACAGAGGCTTCAAATAGCTTCCGTTTTTTTACACTGGTAGTGATTGGACTGGTCTGGACTCACCCAGTGAGCTAAGCAGAGTAGGGGGGGGGGAAACAAGTCCACACTTCAATGGAGGAACAGCCCAAAGATCGGGCACAAGACAGACAATATCACCACCACCACGGAGAGGACAGAAGCTCTACTCAACAAACGACGTGTCTAAAACATGATCAGAGCCACTTCCAGCGCCAGCATCAGGAAACGCAGACGAAGAAAACAGGTCGGGGCCATGACGGGAAAAGTCAGCTAACGCTTCTTTTTTTTTTTTTTTTTTTGTTGCTAGCCTTAGTCAGCTAATGTCAACGAGCCAACTCATGATAACTCCACCGCGGTTGTAGATGTAGCTACACGTATCCGAGCTAAAATAAAAAACAATCTTTAACTCGCTGTGATTAAATAATGATCGCACCTCGGTGAGTACTGAAGTCAGACCCCGAGAGTTTCTCTGTTGTTTGGGACTACAAGTCGGGTTAGCTTGTCGGGCTAGCTGACGTTGCGTGACAGTTGTCGCTGGTGGTGGTTTGACACATCGGGGATTGACCTTGTGAGCTGCTTCCACCACCCCAATGTGTCTTTTTTATTTTTTTTTGTTGCTGAGTGATTTCATAGTAACCAGTGTTTTTTCCTTTTTTTTTTTTTTAGTCTTGTGACTTAATCGTGTTTTGTGTTTTTTGTGTGTGTGTGCATGACGTCTCGCCGTCGACAGCAGCAGACAAAAAAGAAGAAGAAGAAGAAGAAGAAGAAGAAGGGTTTATTCATTACACGCCTGTGTGTCCACTTTCGGAAAAACGAGCCGGCTCCACTGGAATGTTCTGAGCTCCCGTTTCCTGTCGGCCATGTTGTAACACTGCGAGCTAATGCTACACTTCTCGGGGCGTTTAAATGATTTTTTTTTTTTTTTTTTTTTAAGCAACCACGATTATTTGCCAAAGCTGGGCATGTCGGGGTTTTTTTTCCCCCGACTTTTTTCCCTTTTGAGTAAGAAGTCACCTATCTCATAGTTCAGTCAACTATTACTTTGAGTCGGTGGCAAGCGTGTCACATTAGCTAAGGCTAGCTACATCTGACAGGCCTGTTGCATGTTGTGTAGGTAGGCAACGTGAAGTCCTGCAGCGACTCGATTGTGACCACTTCAGTGTCAACAATATAATGTGATCCATCGACCTTTTCGTTTCTGATGTGTCAACACGTTTGCTACCTGACCGTGGAGACTGTGGAGGCAGTGTTGTAAGCCTGTGTGTGTGTGTGTGCTGTGCCCTCACACATTAAGGGGCCAGCCCCATTTGGTGAGAAGCCCCACGTTGACACAGCAACCCCCCCCCATGCTTTAGTGCAGGGATGGGCAACTTTGGTCACAGCAAAGGGCCACATTTATTTAATTCTCACTGCCTGGGGGTGGGGGGGGCAAATTGTAGGATACAAAAAACGATTACAGTCAATTATGTCTCAAATTTAACTCAACACATACCAGTGATCAAATGTTATTATGGACATGTTTCTGGTTTTCATGATTTCATGGCAGATTTTGTCATGTTTTCTACATGCTTCATGTAAAAGTTGACCTGAGGGCCACGTTCAGGGTTGATGGGGGGCCGCCACTTGCCCACCCCTGCTTTAGTGCAATGCAAAGAGCCATTTGTTTTTCAAGGGAGATCTACGCGTGTGTCATTAATGTTGCTGTGAGGCCCCCCCCCCTTTTGCATATCACAACAACCTCTCTGATGTTGGATTATACATCAAGTATAATATACATTCATAACCCATTCACTTTTATAATACTGTCAGCAGCCAGTTGATCCTGCGCTCGTACACTCGATATATTTCTTAATAACAGTGTCCGTTGTCCTAATTATTAGAGAAAGTTAACTATGAGCAAAATAAAAAAAAACATTTTCTTCCTTTTCATGGTGCTTTTTTTGGTTTTCATGTGAAAGATCTGTTCAGGACTTAGTGGTTGAGTTAAATTGTAATGATTAATGTGCATTTCTTTTCTTTTTTTTTACAGCATTATATTATTTTCTTATTAGCAGATTGGTACAGCTTTTTCAGGATTTGTGACAGAGTGCTAAATATTACATATCAAATACATTACCAAGCATTCGGTATCATCCCCTGTAACATTTTTAAATGACGTTCTTGCATACATTTCTCTGCAGTTGGCTTTTCCTTGTGTAGTAGATAAACAGGTTAACATAGTTTAAAGGTTTTTTTAAATATATTTTCTGTTTCAACAAATTTTGTTTCCTCTTTCAGGCAATAAGAAAGTAAACATCAGTGAGGAGGAGGGGGACAAGAATCCACATCTGTCTGATACTGTTGGTATGTCGCATCCCCCCAACAGCAATGGTAACAGACACACAAGTATTACAAATGTGAAGCAGAGGTCATCACAAAAGCTGTACACTACTGTTCCAAAAGTGAGCAGCAAAGGACTGGACCATAAAAAGAATATGGACCTAAAAAATGACAAGGACAAGGCTCTGGAATTTAATCATCATGAGTGCCATCCATTGGATAAGAAAGGCTCTGTGTTGCTTCAGAATGGTGTTGTAAACTGTGGCTTAATAACAAATGGTTATTCTAGCAAGGACAATGATGGCAGCGGCTCTGAAGGTGGATACACTACTCCGAAGAAACGCAAGGCCAGATGCAACAACACCAAGAACTCTGATAATGTAATAAGAGAAAAGGACAAAGAAATGCAGCCGGGCAACACTACGCAGGATCACGGGGCTTTTAATCTTGAGACAGTCGAGAAGGGAGTTACTTCCAGACTTGATGGTTTCAAAGCCGCTAATAAAGTAGAAGCGCAGTCCTCAGCTCGGCGGACTGCTGCCTCGGAGGCTTCAATGGGTGAATCTCAGAGGAAAAATTCTGATGGCAAATCTGTTGGCACCTTTGGTAAAAAGACTGAAGACAGGCACAAAGCCAAGCTTTCCTCACCTTCAAAAGAGGACTCATGGACTTTGTTCAAGCCCCCTCCAGTATTTCCTGTGGACAATAGCAGTGCTAAAATTGTTCCCAAGATCAGTTATGCAAGTAAAGTAAAAGAAAACCTCAACAAAGTAGCTCAAGGTGGAGGAGAGGCACTGCCTCCTCCTGTTAGACTGTCACAGGTCCCTATGTCTGCTATGAAAACTATCACCTCAGCTAGCTTTACTAATGGCCCTGTTTCTGGAAATGGAAACGGCTGCCCATCAGTGGGTACCTTCTTCGCTCCTGCTGCTAGTAGTATTCCACCAGCCCCATCTATCCCAAGTGGCGAGAATGTAGCATCTTCTTTGGAAAGTAACTGTAGCTCTACAATTAGTCCTGTAGATGGAGACGCATTGGAGCTCAGAAAGTGTGCTCTTTTAATTTACCCTTTAAATATGCAACCTGTGCTCCCTAGTGCTCGTCACCTTGACCCGCCGGCTGCTCAGACAAATCAGAAAGCCTTGGGAGATATCTTCCAGAATCAGTGGGGGCTTTCCTTCATCAATGAGCCCAACTTGGGGGCAGAGGGAGGAAGTGGCCAGGTGCCCACAGAGGACAAAACTGCTGTGGTCACACTTCAAAGCGAGTGTCAGGCTGGTACAGCTAAAGCTGCCCAGCCTTGCTTTGATGTTAGCCCATCATTCTTGGAGCCTGGCACTTTGGCTCAGGACCCAGAGAAAAGGACTTGTGCCCCTTGCAATGTGTCTAATGTTTGTTCTCCTGCTTGTGTGATGAGTGAGGAGGAAAACAAGCTGCCGCCATGTGGCCAGGAAAGGGCAAAAGTTGAGGGTAAGGGTGCAGGTTCTTCTGGGTTGGCCCCCAGTAAAGACAACGGTGCTAAGCCTGCACTGGGCCAGCTAACCACTCTGTTTTTTGGCTCATCTAAAGAGCCAACCCACTCTAAAGACATTGGCAGAAGGTGTAGCTTGGGGTCCTTTGACGTTAAAGCTGCTGTCACTTATCACACTAAAGGTAATTTTTATCTATCTTTTCTATTTTCTTTTTCTATTTTTTGTCTAACAATATAAGTTGCAATTCTCAAGCTTTACTGCCCTGGGTGCTTTGGTAAAACCAGTGGTTATTGGTGGCACTAGCTAAGTTACAGCCTGTGACTCATAAACTAACCGCTGCTGCTGCTTCCTTTATTCTTCAATTATTGGCTTGCAAAAATCCACAATTGAGAAATGTGAATGATGAACAGTTAGGGTATGTGCAAGCCTCTGTTGGAGGGACTTGTATGTTTGCTTTTGCCCAGTGTATTCGCCTCAGCATTTAATAGATCTCAGTGTAAGAAAATTGGCAAATGTTTTGGTTATTATCTATTAACTGCAGCTCCGGTTTCAGTGTGGGTGTGAAGTAAACAGTGAGGTTAGTGATGGTGATGAGATTGCAATCTGTAATGATTATCAGCAGCAGCATCTCCTGTAAAGCATTCCTAGCAAGCAAGGTGTTTTCAAAAAATACACAATGATATATAATGTATATACTGTTAATTACAGAATGTAAAACGTACTGTGTTAAAAAATGTAATGTATCAAAGTTGAGTTTTTGAAAATCTCGAGGCTCATAACATTAAGCAACACCGAAACATACATTTGCCCAATGTATGTTTCGGTATGACTTAAAAATTCAGCATGGCATTTCCTGAAAAATCAAATGTGTTGACCAATCAATGTAGATGTGAGACTAATGTGTTTTTCCTTCCTTACAGAAATGGAATGCATTTTTAACTTGCAAAAACAAGGTAAACTAAACTTTTTTTGGTTTTCCTTAAATGTTATTAGAAATGTTTTGTGAGTTAAGAATAAATTCTTTTAAGTGAGAAAAAAAAAACCTTCATGAAGCATGACAGTTACTAACATTCAGATTATAATGCTTGAAGTAATTTAAGGCATAAATGTGCTGAAGCGAGAGCAATGTGCTGAATGAATGAATGAATCTAAAGATGGACACTTGATCTATTTCTGGTGAGTGGATTATACTGAGTTCAGATGTGTCCTTCAGATCAATTAGTATGACTATTTGCATCCCTTGACTGAATATAAGTCAAAAATGACTAGCTTCAAAGATCCCAGATCATGTGTAACCATCTTCTTGTTACAAGTCATCCAAGAGCCTTTATAAATAAAGCTCAGCTCCAGTTGTAGTATATGGCACCTTAACGGCTGCATACATGTATAAAGATAGGATAGGATAGGATAGGATAGTACTTTATTGATCCCCAGAGGGGAAAAAAAAATATATATATATATATATATATATATATATATATATCCCCTAAGCATGCCTCTGGAGGACTGATTGCTGTATATCATGGACTGATATCACATAACAGCGAGCACTTGTTGAACAAAAGTCCACATTTGTTTAATCACTAAACAGTGGAAACATAAGCATCCTGAGGTAATCAACAAACAGAGAGTGTGAGACATACTGCTGGTGTACGATCCCCGGTACTGCAGCCGTGCCAGCTGGCAAGTGAAAAACAGCAATCATATCAGAAAGGCCGTGGATATCAACACAAACACAACGAGTTCAGGAATGTTTGAGGCTATGTCAGCTAAATATTCAACCTCGAGCTATAATAAAACCCGGCCATAAGTGCAGATTTCTATGCATGTAAAGTATTGTTAAGGTATTCTGAATTGTGAAGGAACATCTCATGAATCTGTTGCATGTGTAACATATTCTGGATAATCTAACCCTTGTACCCTTTCTCCCCCCCCCCCCGTGTGCTGTAGATCCAAAAAGAGTAGTGGTTTATGATGAGGCCAAGGATGGACCTGATCAGTGAGGCAGATGGTCTACAGTACTTACCGTCTTCTCCTCTGGGTGCTGCGGTTATCTACCTTGGAAATCATAAACCCTGTGGGACAGATAAAGTGACAACTGTGAAAACATTAATAGTATAGCATGGCAGATTTTCCTTGGAATCGTTGATGGAATAACGGACCTCCTCTGGGGCATCAGACAAATGTGCACACACACTCTGGAGGGATGGGAAAGGGGTTGATTGGTGCCTCCAACATGTTAAACTTGCAAACTCTGGAGCTGTGAGTGTCCCTTGTCATTGCTCTTTAGGATGATGTTTCAAGTTCAACGAAGGAAGGTGTCATGGATTGCACCTCCCTAAGCCTTTATCCTGTTGAACTGCGGAGGCCGCCAGCCTGACTTTGGGATGCCTCAGTCATTTTTTCTTTTCTTCACGCATTCAAATGAGTTCATTGTAGATACATTAGACGTTATACATACACACGTGTGTGCAAGATAGAATTCATTGTGGAGGAAAGGAGACCACACTTTGCAAAGAATGCCTTGAAGTTGTGGACTAAAGATCTTAGGAGGCCTCTTAAACTGTAGGTTCAGTGGAAGCTCGTAGGTGAGTCCCCATCCAGGGAGGGAGAACCTTGTCTTAAATCCTTTAGGGGAAATCAGAGCCCTCAAAATTCAACCCTTTTTCTTTTATACCGTTATGTCAGACTTAACATGATGAGTGTTACTCTGCACTGCAGTATGACCCCAGAGCACAGGTACAGAAGTGCCCCATCTGAAGGAAAGCTATGCCCCTTCATTTCATCGTTTATTACAGGTGCGCTAAAGATTTTAAAGTCAGGTCTCTGCTGAAGGCAAAACCTTTTAATGTCAAAGCTTTTCATACATTTCATGCACATTGAATAGAGGTCAGTGGAAGCTATTCCTAAATTCAGATTCATACACCTTTCTAATATGAATCATGACTTTAGGTACTATGTGACATTTTTTAGCAAGATAACCAACAAGGTCTTCTGCGTTTTTGTTCAATTTGTTTAGCAGCAAGACTCAGGATGTTCATACAGATTATTTTGCCTGCATTTCTGTCTGTAAAAACTGTTCACTTCCTCTGATCAAAGGAACATGGGTTGCATTTTACAGCTTAGATTTTGATTTCTGTCTCAGCGTTGGGTCTTTACTTCTCTGTCTTGTGGCATTGTATTTCCTGCATGTTTACGAGTGGGAATGAACGAGACAGAGGTCGCGCTTCATCGCCATGCAAAGATCAGAGCAACACAACAAAAATTGCAATACTAATCTAGGTTGCCCCCCCCCCCCCCCCCGCCCCGACTAGCCACTTTGTCCAAACTGTTGAAATGTGAAGATGAGTTGTACGTTTATGTTTTTACTGTGGATAACATTTAACATTTTGCAAAGCAGTGTGCAATAACACCGTGTGATCCATACGCTGTGTGAAAAAATGGGTTATACGGAGCTACAAAATCATCACCCAAGATGCTGGTGTGACCTGCAGTTTGTTTGTTCAAAAAAAAAGTTTTAAGGTGCATTATCAGTTAGTGGCACACATTTCTTTAAGTGCAAAATGAGCTCATGCTGAAAGATCTAATTAAGTCTAGAGAGCCCAAAATTAGCTTAAACTGCTAACTGGCCGTTTGTGACATCCCTTTTCATCACCACCTCCAAATCAGAATCAAGTTTGTTCAACCTAATGAAGGAGCTGTCCAGGTTTCTTTTCTCTAGATGATATGATTTGGTTAATGTGTGGATTAATAGCACTTTATGTAAACTAATTGCTTTTATCTTTTAATCGCTAGAGAGAGATCTATATGTACTGACAAGAAATACTCCTCGAAAGAATGGCTCTGGGCTGTTACTTTTCAGAAAAGAAATAAATACAGAATTATTAAATGTAACTCAGGTAGTGTTGATAAAGCCATGACTATGTTCAATATTGTTTTTTGTTTTTTTTCAAATGTCCCCTGTCCTGTAATGTTTAATTGGAGTTGTTGAATTGGAGTCCTATTATATAGAGTCTCATATGATACTATGACAACAAAACACCAAACGACTTACTTGTTAGGGAACCGTCATGGCATGCAAGGTGCTGTCATTGATCATTTTGAGCTCTTAAAATCGGAGTTTTCCTTTTATCTCCCCCGTTTAAAAAATGAATAAATAAAAAAAAAAAAGCACATTGCTCCATGTTTTAGTCAACTAGACTGATATTTTCTTACCGTCTTTGATGACTGATTTTACTTCATGTGTTCATAGTGAAGCACCTCTTGCTTTATTATTGCTGTTCCTGTCGGGGTGAGCTGTTCTTCAAGTACACTTCTCTCCACTGTGTCCCGATGAGACGGCACTGCAGAAAGTCGCAGCTGCAGCCTGACATTTAACTTCCATGACTAATCTCAGTCAGCTCTCTGTTATTTAAAGATGCTTCGTTTTGGCTTCCGTTGTACAGCGTGTGATGGATGAGTGTGTTATCAGATGCTGCCCTCTGATAAAGAACAATTGATGTGTCCAATGTGGCCGACGGGGAAGCGAGTGTGTTCAAGGAGATATCACCTGTTAGCTTTTGGACTTTTTTTTTTTTTTGTTCTTGTGAAAAATAATATTGAATCTGTCATCACAAAAACAGTTGTTTTTTGTTGTTGCCCTTAATCGATACACAAAGTGACATAATCTCATAAAAAATGCCAAATTTATCAGTCAGCAGTGATGCATCTTGAGGCTCTAAATGTTAAACAGGGTGATTCTATGGAGCTGTATGTATTGTTACTGTAGTCTTACGACCTTTTGCAGATATTTGAACTTTGTCATGTTTTAAAGAGGATGGTCCTGCACAGGGAAATCAGAGAATCTCCTTTCCTCCCACCCCAAGGGAGGAAGGGAGTGCTTTTATCAAGCACTTATTACAGCAAAAAGGCTATGTGGAATATGCATCTTTAAAGATAGAACTTTTATTAGCATTGTAGCCTGCATACCAAAAACAGGTTCTTGAAGCTGCCTAGAACGTTAATCAGTAATCGGAGTGAAGAGGGGAGGGGGGAGGGGGAGGGGGAGGGGGGGGGTGCAAGTGAGTGACTGACTGTTGGTGTGTTGAGATAGAAACACCTGATCATGTGGAGTTTTTTTTTATATTTCCACCTCCTCAGGATGTGCAATCACCTCAATGATGCTAAAGCAGCAGGCATCCAGGTTTGCGAGTTTGGCCTCGTCATTTTGTGGGTATGTGTGTGTAGTCAGTTCTTCCTATTATATGCAAGTTCCTCATATATTTCAACCACACCCCTCCCTCGCTGCCCTCCTGTTGTTTCATGTTCGGTGCCTGTGTGGAAAAAAAAAAAAAAAAAAGTACTTTTACAGCAATTTTGATTGTTTAAAATCTGCTTCTAGCATATATCTGTGCCATTTTTTTCTTTGTTTTTGTAACACTTGCAAGGCTGTTCAAGTTCTAATCCTAATTTCTTCTTTGAAGCGACATGGACGCAGCTGGAAGCGATGAGCAATTTCTATGTGTTGTGTAGGGTTTGAAATATTTCCTGGCTTGTGTTCAGAGATGTATGTGACCTAAAGCCAAAATCAGTTTGAATGGGACAGACGACATTCGCTTGCTGGTGTGTGAACTCATGGCTGTTCAGTGTTGAGTTAATGTCTGAAGTAGCACATAATTGATTTGATTTAACAAATTTATGTTTTAACACGTTTTTCCAAGACGTTTTCTTTCTTCTGTTTGTTTTTTTTGTTTTTTTTTAATTTTGAGTATTACCTAATTTATCCGTAGATGCACACGTAGGATGAGACTAAAAGGAATAAATGATACCTAAAATCACAGTGTCTCATTTTTGTTGAGTTTGAGATGACTTGAGTTACTGATTAGGGCTGATGTAGACTCCAATAACACCCACGTTAATACATTTTAAGTTATCTTCCTGCAGATTTTATACAAATGACTTTGAATTCATTTCTTCAGGTAGTTGTGATGGAGTGACGAGCATCCCAGAGTTCCTGTTTCCTCTTTTTTTTTTATTATTTGTGGTGAGGGGAGTGAAGCGTTAACATGCTGTTCAAAAACTCTGGATCTGCTTTTTTCAGTACACTACTCAGATATTCAGCTACTAACTGGCAAACGCACAGAAAGACGTGGGGTTGGGGGGGGGGGGTTGATGATGTCATAACCAGCTCTGTGACATTGCGCTGGGCTTGGAGCAGTTTTTGAAGTGAAGACGAGTCACTACTGTAGCAGCTGAATGTCACTTTGAGGGTGTTATTTAACAGTGTGATGGAGGAGAGATCTTACAAACAAAATACCGAAAGTGCTGCCTCTTCATCCACTAATCAGTCGTCTGGAATGGGAAATGCTGGACATCGTGTTTGTGCTCAACTTAAAAAAATAAAATTAAAAAAACTGTCTCATTTAAATTGCCTCTAGTGGAAAATGTTTTAATATGTGGGGGGGGGGCTTTTTGTTTGTTTTCTTTAATGACACCTGAGAGATACAGAGGTCAAGACCCCTCACACGGGAAGTCAAGTAACCAAGGGCAATGTGTGTCTTCACAGGACTGAGTCATGAAAAGAGGGGAACTGTTGTGCCGAGTCATCTTTCTGTTTTGTTTCTCTGTCAACTAAAATGGCTGTCGTGCTTGTTGATGTTTATTTTGATTTTTTTGTTTGCTCCTCTTTATCTCACTTCTGCATATTTAGCTGCCCGCCCCCCCCCCCCCCCCCCCAAAAAAAAAAATGAGGCAATAGCATTTCTTTCTCAAATGTCTTACAGGTTGACATTTACGTTTTTAAGTGAGGAGTCTGCTTTATTTAATTATTGTTTGAATTTAACAAAAGTGTCACATTAAAATGTTCTTTTTTTTTTAAGCATGATAATAACCCTCAAATTCCAAACAATGTAATAGAGTCAATTTAAAAAATAAAAAAAACCTCCAGTGTTCACAATTTTAGTTTCCATTAAAATGTCAAATTTCATGAAGAAATCTGGATGTGTGGTGTTTGTGCTTTTTTTCCTGACATATCTGATTCTGTTCAGTCAGCGAACTGTCAGAAGACTATGTCTGATTATTTCCAATGATTCATTTTACATGTGCATGACCACAGAACATTTTATAAGAGCCAGGTACCTTCTTTCAGTACTAAAGTCAAGGTAACACAATCTGTTCCACACAATGACACTAACTGTGTGTGTGTGTGTGTGTGTGTGTGTGTGTGTGTGTGTGTGTGTGTGTGTGTGTGTGTGTGTGTGTGTGTCCTTTGGAAATGATGAGGGTGCTTCATGTTTGGCATTTTTTCCATACAGTATAATCTGTAAATGAAATATATTGGTAGTTTAATAAAAACAAAGCACATATCAGCACATACAGTTTGTCTGGAGCTCCCCTGGTCTGATTTTAAATAGCCTTTATAAAAATAAAAATGACGGCTTAACCGGTTCTGAAGACAGTCTGGGGTACAAACACCATATACTCTAATGTGAGAATTCAAAACACAGACATGTGATATTTTGTCTCGACAGCAAAGTTAGAAAACGTTCCTCAGTGGTCGATCAGTCCTCTGACACTGTGATTCCTCATCACTGATCAGAGGAGCTGATTGTTGTCCAGAGACGCCCCCTTGTGGCTGAAGTGTTGACTAACATTTACTTAATCACTACAGACAGATGTGTAATGTGCTTTCTTCATCTTGTGATTTAATGACCAGAAATGTTCAAATCTCTTATTATTTTTTTAAAAGTTTTCCCTAAGGTCAGAGGTCATTTTATTTATAATTCACCTAAAAAATAAAGTGATTAACAACATGAGCTAGGAGGCTCCTTTGACAAAGGTTAGTATGAAATATAAATACATGAAACAGAATAGAATATAAAAACAAAACAAAATTATAAGTATAACAAAATGTTTTTAAGAAAAAATATGTATATGTATCATGAATATATGTGCATCATATATATATATATATATATATGGTAAGTATTGTACGGGGGAATATTGCACTTCAAGGCTTTTTTAATGATTTAAAAAAAATAAAGACTTTGTGTCAAATGTCTTGACATCATTGTATAAATAGATCATAAGAAACATGTTTAAAATCAAAATATGCATAACATGTCTTTGCACTCTAAACAAATCCATTTAATTGTGATTTTACAGAATGATATGTATTGCACCTGATCATATTTTATTAGTGTATTCCCTTTCCTTTATTAGTCGACTGTCTTGTGTTTATATTTCCTCAGTTAACTGAATTTCTATCCTCTGCTTCATTCACTTTAACATTTACTGAATCTGTGTTGGGGAGATGAAAAACAGCTGATGGAGCCACACGATTCTAATTGCTCATTGTCATTTAACAGGATGAATTCGAATCATTTTTATCTACACATCAAATGTGTTTACACTTTTTGTCTTTTTTAAAATCCTGAGTAAATCTTTGACTTCTGTGATTGCTCGGATGATTCTTGGAGCGGTTGACACTCTGCAGGTGGCGCATTCTCACCACAAATACACACACATTTTTTAAACCTCGGTCATGGAATTGAACCGGTGGTTACCTCCATCTCTTCAGTGTTCCCTTGATTACTCTGTACTTCACTAAGGCCACATGGGGGTTTATGGTCAGGTGCTTGGGTGCTCGTACAGATTGTCCGTCATGCTGGAAGGTCAGTAAAAGGTTTTCATCTTTGTTTCCGCGTGTTTGTGAACTTCTTCTCACTTCACGACTGCTGTGAAAAGGACGAGCACGGCCTTGGTGACCGCTTTGGCAAAGTAAAAGGAAAACTGTCTGAGATACAGAGCTCCTGGATTAAAATCCACCAAATCTTTCTCATCTGTCATTAAAAATGTAATCCACCTGCATTCTCACCAGTACGCTTGAAAGTGTCTCGTCACACTGCTGCTGAGAGGATTTCATTCATTTGCAAATTCAGCCATTTAAACAACACAAGGACAGTACATGTGCACTTACCCATCACATATATCCAATTTGACATCAATATAAACCGTATGAAACTTCATTATTCTACGATTTAACCAGTTTAGTTTGGACAGAAATCCTTCAGTTCAAGCTTCAAGGTTAAGACTTGGTCACATCATTTGGTTGAAGTATCAATATTTAAAGATTTTACCCTTTTTTTACATTATGAGATTTTTTAATACTGATCCATCAATAAGTAAACAGCATTGTAAATGTAGCTGGTCACGATTGATTGATGCATTGAATTGGTATTTTAGTCCAGAGGTTTCCCAAACTAATGGTCTGCTCCCCCTTCTCAGGGTCACAAGAGACGAACAAGATAAACTAGGATAACTCTAAGGAGTTCTAAGATGATAAACGGAGAAGAAAATAAGTAAAAACACATCTTATCTTGTGATTTTTACACAAAGCTTTTCATTGTAGGAGATGTTTCTCAGTCATTCAGGTCGAGGTAATTTCAAGTTTAAACTGAAAGGCTCATTTCTGATCTGATGAGAGGCAGAACGTCTTCAACAACGTCATGTACAGTAACTCATGCTGCCTTTTGGATTAAACTTTGAAAAATTCTTAACTTTGCATTTATTTTCATACTGCAGGAACTGTCCCAGTGAAATAGCAATCACAAATGCTTAAAATGCTCAAGAATCTGTGGACTCATTCTGCAGTTTCTTGTGGTCAGGTTTGTAAATCACAGCTGAAGACACATGCTGATATTTTTCTGTCACACAGGTCAAAAACAATTTTATTGAGTCTTTTTTATTGAAAGTCTTCTCACTATTTCGCGAGTTCTTAGCTGATGCCCATCCTTTACAGGTAGAGAAACCAGTGTATCATCTGAGAGCATCTCCTGCTTTCTGAGACGAATATATCAGCTGTGCGCAGACAGCTCCTGACATTTAGTGATCTGTGATGATCTCCACAAACCTCACATCATCAAATGTCACAGTCAAGTGCTGCCAGAGTTTGTGAGTGATCCGAAATGCATCATGGGTCAGAGAAAAAATACTGCAGGCCTGAACCCAATGTTCCCCCTGAGCCTTAAACACACTGAACCCTCAAAGCCTTTAATACACGTTGGTTTGACTACTTCAAGCAAAATGATGTGCATGGCTTATATTTCTGTCAATAATATAGCCTTAACATTGTTACAGAAAGACACATTCTGTCTGTGGTGTTATTTTGGTGTGTTTTCAGAGTATCCATCTTGATGCTGACACATTGTAATACGTCAGGCGGAGCTACAGACACATAACTTATAGAAGAGGACATTTAGCAGCAGTGAGTTTGATATAAACCAAAGGGATGTACCTTTGTATGAGCTGATTTAAGATCATGATACCAACCTATATAGTTAATGCCAACACTATCAAGGGTTAGACGGTTAAAGGAAGAAAGTGCAACATTTTACACATTAATACAGCAGAAATCCATTTTTTTCTCTGTAAAAATCTCTCTGAGTCATGACTGTCTACGATGAGTGTGATGCGCGAGTCCCGCTGTCTGTGATGTCTGAGCTGTATTTACATCATGAAAGAGTGTGTTAGCGTAGGCGTACAACGAGACAAATTGTTTTAAAAAAAAATGACACTAGCATTAATATACACCTCAAACGTTTTACAATCCTTCATCCAGACTATGAACAACAGACTCCCCCACACTCACCTCCTTCAAGAAATCAATCAAAACTCACCTCTTCATCACTGCCTACAACCACTAACTCCCCCACCTACATTACTTCTTTGTTGTACTGTCCTCGTCGTTTTTTGTTTTGTTTTATTGTTTTCTGTTTTTGTCAAAGCGTCTTTGAGTTTTCAGAAAAGCGCTATATAAAACCAAAGTCTTATTATTATTGTTATTATTATTATTATTATTAATAATAATAATAACAAACAGGATATATTATTTCTGTCATGTAAAGGAGCTGTCCTAGACACTTACTGTAAGCTGCAGCTCGCGTTAAGGCGGCTTGATTCATGTGCTCTTATTATGGCTCATTGAAATCCTCTGATTATGCACTGGACTGTCATCATCCATCACTGAGGCTGTTTTTATTTAGGCTCGCGGACTTAGAGAGTGCGTTCTTCCCTAGTCTTGTCTAGTCACTTACACTCTGTCTCTGTGCGTGTAATCCCACAGGTCCGATCATTCATTTC